AATACCTATCGGCTGGTGTCCGTTAGGTTTTCTGTAAAACATAACTATACGCCGAGCTTATGTATTTACCTAAGAACAGCTGTTACTCTCTTTGCGGTAGCCAGCTAGAAATCTCTTCACACAGACCAGTGTATAAAGTGTTAGGATTCCCGGAGGGTGTGAATATCCATCTGAAGATTTTATAACACCTCCGGTAAGATAACTGTTTTATCTTTATATAATAATTAACGAGCTTATTTCTTTTTTTAAAAGTTTCATGATAAGAATATCATGTAAATTCTCTCGAATTCATGGAAAGCTGAGAATGTTTCAAGAAGATATTTTAAACAATGTAAACCTACAACTTCTCCATGCATTGTTTGAATGCTGTTTATTATTTTGATCAAAAGAACCGAATATGGGGACGTGTACAATAGATATCCTGATTAATGCTAGAAAGCTTTTTAAAAAGCATACAAATTTACGTAATGGTGTCAGTTTGTGTTATAAAGTGAGCATTTGACCGGTCGACAGGAGATGCTTACTCCCCCATGGCACCTGATCCCACCTCTGATGTTTTTAGAGGTCTGTGTATGCTCTGCTCCAAATTTGTATTGTTTCAATGGACTTTTGATTGATTGTTATCTTCATATTTCATTTATTAAATGTATCTCTTTTCCGTCAAATTGAGATGGATCATTCTGTAGTAGTTAACGTCCTGGTTATGATATTTCACGCAGGCTCAAGCTGGTAATTTTTTTCAAACGAAGTACTTTTTTTTATTTGTCCTTGAACTTTATTTAGTCAGAAATTTGTGATGTTTTTGTTGCAGGAAAAAAAAAACTAAGCTATTTTCCTTATTGTTCTGGGCAAATCATGATTAACTAAAATCAATGTTATCCTTAACTGAACATCAAAACTTAAGTCAAAATGGACAATATCATCTCCATAGCAACAACAGTACAGTACCTATCCCGAGATCGATTCTAAGGTTTATAATATTTCCCCAGATGTTTCATGTACATGTAACTTGTTTTTGTTGCTTTGAAAGCTTTATTTAATAAATCATTTTGGGAGGAGTGTAAACTATTTGGAAACCTGCTTTCCCCTTCACACAATTAATCATCAAGGAAACATAGAGTTATATAATGTTAAACATAAAATTTTTCCTCGAAGACTTATCTATCAGATCTTTTGATGTACTACTAAATGCAAAGCTTGCACAGACATCTAGATTTAAAAAAAACACTTCATATATATTTAGATATCAATCAAGTTTCTGCGAAAAGTAAATGCTCATCGTGAAATTATGTTTTCATTTCGGTACACAGAAGACGTGCAAAACAGATCCACAAAATTAAAAAAAAAATGCTGACTGCCATGTGGTTATGAAGTTAAGATTTTAAACTTTTGGCCCCAGTGGAAGTGGCCCGAGATCACTATCGTGTAGGCTCGGCAATTCTAGTAATATTAGACAAAAGGAAAATATTTGTTAAAGAAATACGATTTGGGTAATTAGAGATTCTTTGCCACCGGAAAGGAGTTCTTGCAACTCATGTCAATATTTTGAAGAAATTCACCGCAGTTCTATGTGGTTGATGTAAATATAAATGTATCTGTTCTAAAGGTCACTCAATTTGGAAAGAGTTGTTTCATCAGCAAAACAATTAAAGATAGATGGATTCAAAAATAATAAAAGGGCAAATATGAAAAGCAATTGCTCTGCTGGCATATTTCGTTAATGTATCTATGCCAGCAGTGTTAACTATGTTTACTGTAAAAACGTTGTATAATTCTGAACATGTGCATGTCTAGTATTTTACATTTGACCCTCCACTCGAATGTAAACAATCAAAATAATGGTTTCTAGAGTTAAAGTCTACTATGTATTCAGTAATTCATTTTTTAACCAAGCCATTTGTCCGTCACTGATTTCTATTCATTGATCGAGACGTATTAAAAAACATGTCATGACATCTCAAATCCGTTTTCGTGAAGAAATAAAAAGCTTATATACAGCAAAGTCTTTTACTTACGTTTTTTTCCTTTTAGTGCATATTTAGTTTTTACGTGTACATATGGCATTGTCTGATACAATGTTCTGTCGCACATATTAAAAATCTAAAGTGTAATAGCTAGAGCATTTATGGTGCTATGAACATAGTGATACATGTATTTCATTGGTCATGTTTTCACAATGGAAGAGTAGACGAGCTAAAATTTGTCGAAGTTTAATCAAGTTTAAAACATTCTAATTATTAATAATTATTTTACATATGTTGACTTTGCATTTTTTTTTGTTTCAAATAATGGATCACTCAAAAACAAAGTTGTTAAAATAACGAATTTTACAATTTGAGAAAAAATGCAGTAACTTTTTTTTCGTTACTGTATTAATGAGAATCGAAATCTTTTTGGCGCTGTATTTCACCTTTTATAATGAAGAAATCAGGCGCGGATCCAGGCATTTTTTCTAGGGGGGTCCATCCCAGTAAAAAAAATTCTAACCCAAAGTTTTCTTGACAAGCAAATAAAAAAAAAGAAGAAAAAATGTGGTGATGATGGTGGGTCCACGTTTTCTAAGGGGGGGGGGGTCATTTTTTATTTGTTTCATTATATACTTTTAATAGCTCTGCAATTCCGGGGGGGGGGGGGGGGTCCGGACACTCCCCCACCCTAGATCAGCGCATGGAAATGCTTAACGAGAAAATACATCACCTTATCATGTGCTTTCATTTTACGATATCTTTGTTATAACTTGAGTCGTATCGGTATTCAACTCACAATGTTGAAGATGTTCAGTCAATTGAACACAGATTTGATAGCTTTTAGCATACATGTATTACTTTGTAATCTTAATATTCCGGATTCAGTATGAAATACAGTGGTTAACGATGTCGATACAAAAACATTGACCAGGGGTAACCATGCATGCATATTCCTTTTTTTTCAAAAATGTCAGAGAATAAGTATGGAATTATTTTTTAATTTTTGACGAAAGTTCAATTTTGAATATACCCCATTCTATTGGATGCCAGAAAGGCACAATTAAACCAATGAACATTACCATATCTTCATCTATCCGATTTACGGAAGCTGTCAGTTTGCTTTTAAAGGCGATGAAATTCACTTCCCTGTGAACATCATATAAAAAAGGGGAAGAGCTTTATTATGTTAAATGGTGTAAAATAAATATCTGCAAAACTGTACTTTTAGAGTCAATTTGCAAACGCTGAATATCCAACTTCGTAGTGATGAGCAGTTATGTTTCTTTCTGTTTAAATTATTTTTTGTATTGTCTCATATAAATTGAACCCTTGGTCTTTTATTAAAGTTTAGAATCAAGCCTTTAATTGCCCAATTTCATCATGACGGTGGTTTACTTGGTTATCCAATGGTTGGTTATCGGTTATAAACACTCAGAGAATCGACCAAAAATACACAAGGAAATAACCATATCAGCAGCAGTCTTCATTTCCTTGTACATGTAAATAGTTTGTTGTTTTCTGTTTTATATTTTGAGCCCCGTTTTCCTATGTTTTTTTTTATTACATAAAAAGTTAATAACTAATTTGAACGCCACTGTCAAACACTAGTATTTGATTGCAAAAAAGATTTTCGTCTAAAATTAGACTGTGAACCTTTATACAGCAATATTTAATGTAACAAGTTAATAATTCAGTGTTTTTGATGCACTGTAAGATATGAGTTTGCAAGAAATAATTTTCCATTAAAATGTCCATTTTATCACCAACAGAACTACTTTCTTTGCATCATAATCCTTTTATTTATTTGATTAACGAAAAAAAAATCTCAAATAGAGGACAATCCTTGTGTTTTAGCACTGCAACTTAAGTTTTTTCGTAATTAGTATCATATTCCTTGCTTTAGCGATATTGATAGGTACTGAATCAATGTGAACGAAAAAAGGCGATAATGTGCAATTTAAGGATTTTTTTTTTTTTTGACGCAAGTCCTTTTATTGGGATTCTTAGCTACAGAATCTGATATATAAATTGAGCTTGAGAGAAAAATTCTTAATCTCTTTCGGGTTGCTTGAGGTCACTCTGTTCATGTCTTATGAAAGGTAGGCTTAAAAGGGTGTTTTAATATATCTTTACTATACCATATTACTTTGTACAGTTAATAGAAATGAGTTCATAAATAGAAGATAGTTATTTCACATGTTTTCTTATTTCAAGATCTTTTATTGTTTATCAGGGAAAAACCTTATAATGTAAACGTATACATCTTTCATTGATTCCTATTTAAAAGTTTGTTCTTGGGGATTTTTGCTTACACGTGGATCCAGGATTTTTGATGTTTTTAAAGCATGCTTTTTGTTTAAGCAATAAAAAAGGGGTAAGGCAATATGCTTTGGTGTACCTACAGCATGCATGTAAAGGTACGCGCTAAAATATGTTTCGAATGCTTATTTAACCTCCATTTATCAATCATTTGCGTCAGTGAATTGACTGGAATTGCCCTTGATAATACAATTAGATCCTCAGCTTTAAGCCGTTCTTGACTTTTTGTGAACGTTCACCTTGCAACCATGATAACTGAAACTCAGTAACGAACGCAAACATTACCAGATATTTGTGTGTTTGTTAATGATTAAGGTATAAAACTCCGGATTTGATCAATAATCTAATTCAATATTCCTTCATTTATTATCCTTAGTTAATTTGACACTCAGAAACTGATGAAAAAATTATTTTGCTTCTGAAAGTAAATAAGACGATGCATGGTGATTATCTTTTAGATCTGTGAGATTGGATGTATCTTTTTAAGCACTTAAACAAAAGAGAATCTAACGTTAATGATATTATAGAATACGCACACCCTTGTTGGTATTCAAAACAGAAAATAAACTAATTTCCATTTTTTGTTTTTATCTCAATTGATGTTTTCCCGTTCTTTCTGTGACATGCGCATAATTACCACACTTTTAATGTGAAGAGTTGATGAAAGCCTTTGGAAATCGAGTGGCATGAGAAATCTGTTCTTTATCATTGCAGACTGAGACAGAGCGAACAGATGATCGGGTTCCGCAGAAAGACTTTACTGGAATCGGGCAGGATGTTCTGAGACGACACACAGTTAAGGTGAGAACTGCAGGGAGACTTAATTATAAACTTAATTAAAGCGGAAAGAGGAAAATGTCCTCAGATTCCCTCTGAACATTCATTGAACGCCTTTCTCTTTCCGAACTCTTCATTTTCTAAGCTTATAAACATCACGATTACATACTACAGATTAATACTAATTACTGCCTATCGTCGTCTCGTACAAGCTGACTGTGATGCGGAATTATTTGTGTCCGATTTCCTTGCTAATGAAGAGACACTTTGATGTTAAAATTCCAGCTGCGACCATTTGAAAAACCTTGACATATAGAGTATTAATTTCTATGATATTTTTCTAAAAGAAAGAACATCGTTTTATTTATTTCTCTTGTCCTTCACCCATTATAATTTAAGTATACGTACTATACATGTTTTAAAAATATCAGTGCATACCTTAACTGTAGATCTGTAACTTGCTGGTCTGAAAAAATTGGGATGGACAACCACGGGAATATTTTTTTTTCGGAGAGCTACAGTTCTGCAGCTAAAGTATGCATACTTGTACAGCTGCATGTATATTGTTGTAAATTCTTGGTGACCACATGATAGAATTGTTTAGACTTTTCTGGCTATTCGAATCGTGCCAAGGTGCAAGAATTACATATTTCTTCGGGTTCTGAACATATATATAAACTGTACGTCCTATGTGCATTGTACAACCGCACTTAAAAAAAAGGTTTGAAACATTACTTCATCCCAGACACAACAGCTGCAAAGATATCTTCCATTTTAATGTAGCCATCAAGCTAAGCTCGTACTAATCACAGAAATGACATTTCTTTTCAGAAACGTAAATTCTGACTTTTTTAAAGGATTGAAACAAGTTCAGAATAATCTATTGCTGATTATTACGACTTGGAATCGAGCCAGGTACCTTCCTAGAAAATTCTATTACAAAAATCCAACCACTTGACGGATCTTAAACCTTTTTATTCAAAAAGTTTGTTAACTTGCACTCATGTGTCACATTAAAGACAAAAGGCAAGGCACCAGCTACTTACATCTTTTACTTCATTAAGAAAGCTTGATGAATGAAATAATCGGATGCTTGAAACACTGAACTATTACCTTTCCGAAGGCAAGTAAAACCAAACAGTAGTTTTCGATTAGGAAAAAGTAAATAGGATATGGTACAACGCAGCATCGATGAATATCTAAAGGGATTGTTAATTATTGGTAAGTATTTGTTTTCAGTTTTACAACCTTTCCATTTCTCCTGTGAGGCGGCGTTCCGCTTCAATTCTCCTTCTGCTAAGCACCGTTCCGCTTCATCTGTCGCTTCCGCGCGGAGGGTCTGACAATTTCTCTTCGCTCTTTGAGTAATTAACAATTCAAAATCTGAGATAAAGTCCGGCTAGGATAATCAGATTGAGCCTCAGCGGTTACTTTATAATTGGATCTTAATTACTCGTCTGGGGACAGTGTTGGTTGGCATTGGGATTCTGTCATAAACATATGATTTATCGACCCCCCTGTTTTGCCCTGACCATACATTGTCTCTCCGTCACATCTGTAGTGGGAGGTTTAGGAGGAAACATCGTGTCGATTTCATTTCTCTCCGGAGGATGAAATTAATTTTCAATTATCAAGCAGCGTAAAAGCCTCTTACAACATGACTGTGATCTACTGATGGGAGTTCGGATTATTGACATAAAAAATGAAGATGACATTTTTACTTCTTTTTATAGCATGCGTTTCCATTCTAATTTAGGAAAATGTTACAAAAACCTGACATTTTGGATTTTGAGGTTTGATATAAGGATGTTTTATTTTGTCTTTGAAAAAGGAAATATTTTTATCTGGTTTTGAAAGATACACTTTGATTTAAACATGTGGAATTAATCATCGACAGTATATCTCTCTGAGCTGAGGAAATACTAATATCACAGGGAAGTTTTTTTTTCATGGTACACGTTTTATTCTTAAATTCTCTTCTAATTAACGTCTAATAATATGTGATATTTGTCAATATTTAGAAAACCACAGATTACTTAATTATTTGATACCGGTATAAAATTTATTTATCTGATAATGGTATAAAGTCGAAACTTCTGTTATATTTTAAAATTAAAGATAGAATCTTTGTAAAACAAAAGTCGTAGGTGAACGATTGATCAAGTTCATTGAAACTGTTTGAAATAAAAATAAAAAAGCAGGGAGATAATGCACTGAATGTAGAGATATATGTACACTCTGTCCTAAAAAATCCAGGTTTTTTTCCTCAAAATAAGAAAATGTGTATTATCTTTGCATGGTCGATTCGAAATTGTCTGATAACTTTTAACTTCTTACAGTGAATTTTATTTTGGTTTCGCTACAATTAAACATCGGTATCTGTTAAATTTCGTTAAGTCTGTTTTGATTTGTTGGAGTTTGCTGAATTCTGCAAGATTAGCATTTTAAGATATTTGGAGTAGTGTCTGGCAAATCCTTCGATATTCACATTCAGATATAGCTGAAAATATCCTAGCTTACGCTATTGATAGCTACATGTATAATATAATATGAGAAGGTTTGGAACGTTCGCAGTTTCCTGAATTACCGTATTTACAAGATCTGAACTTGTAATTTTTTTTTATAAATGAAAAATAGGAGTTAATTTTGCAGTTATACAGTACATGTTAGGGTGAATGCAATAATTGGTCTAAAACTCAGAGTCATTGATATTACATAACGTGCGAAAGCTGATAATCATAAGGAAATATATAAACGTTTTGGAAAATGCTAGAACTAAAATGCCAGATTTAGTAACATTGGGTTTTTGCACTCTTGTAAATGATATAACATGGTAAATGAAATGTCTAGTAATAGGGAAGAACCAATTTGATTGTGAACAGCGTGAAATTCAAAATTCTACAAAGCTTTGAATTAATAATTTTAGTTTTCGTTTTCACAGATGGATTGACATTTGAATAGAAAAAAAAAATGACAGCAAGTCCTTGGATTGTAAATTCATCTACGTCTTTGTTTGACCAACTTCTCTACAACAAGACAGGACCCCGACCCAACGATGCGCTTCCGGTTAGCCATTCATTTTCATTGGACAATATTCAAAACAACGTTTCTAACGTGACTTCAGGACCGGAAGTTGATAACAGCGCTCACACAAGCTGGAGTCTCCTAGAAACGGTGGTGTTCGGAACATGGTTGTCAATATCTATGGTTTTTGCTATCGTGGGAAATTTCATGGTGATTGCAGTTGTATGGAGACATAGAGGAATGCGGACGAGAACAAATATGTTTATAGTGAACTTGGCGATAGCAGATTTTTTGATTGGAATACTTTTGGCGCCATTTTCACTAACAACATTAATAGCACATGACTGGATTCTAGGAGATGCACTATGTTTCTTGAATAGTTTTTTAAATGCCGTCTGTTTTTTGACATCTTTACAAACGTTGATGTACATCAGTATACACAAGTATTTATCTATCACCCGTCCATTAATTCGTATAACTAAGTGTAAGATATTAATTATGATTATGGCAGCATGGCTATGGGGAATCATCTGTGCTGCCTTGACTACATTCATTCTAAGTCATTATGAATATAAGGAGAAAACCATGCAGTGCGGACCGGCGTATCCCGGGAATACGGTTCGGTCCATAATATTTCATTTTATTATCCAGACATCGAACCTCTATCTTCCTTTAGGAATTATGTTGTTTTGTTATATCAGGATATTTCAAGAGATTAAGGAGCACATGCAGAGGATGGATGAAAATTCAGCCATGGACCGGAAACAGATTTTCTCACAACAGCGGAGAGTGACCATTACATTGTTTATCGTTTTGGCATGTTTTGTCGTTTGTTGGTTTCCATACTGTGTATATGCCAATTATGTCACATTTGTGGAGGATAAAAAGACGATTCCAGCATGGGCTAATGCTGTAGTAAGTGGATACAATGTGTAGATATGGTAAAGAGGAAAATCTTAATGAGTGATTCTTATAGGAAAGACAATAATCTTGGTTTTCATTGCCATTTGGAAAGATAAGTCAAGACCCTTTTTGTCATCGGAATGAAATAACTGCTGCTGTAGTATAGTTTTTATTTCATTCTAATAACAAGACAGGGTCTGGACTTATTTGTGGAAGGAGTATACAAGATTGTATTTTTGTCCCACCAATGAAATGCTACACCATAAAGATAGAAAAATCTAGCAATTGAATACTAGTATTCGTGTGCATTTTGGATTGCTTTGGGGGTCCTTGGGTCAAAGAGCCAACTAGCAATTGAATCGAAATCTAAATACACTTATTTCATTCTCCTTCCCATTACTTTTGAATAGTTTGGCTAACAGTGTCATATTTTATACAAATTGAGGCATGTACAATAGACGAAGGACAAATTCCAATTTCAAAAAGCATCTCAGATTATTCAGACATGTAAATCGATAAGAAAATGTTTACAAAGGGGATATACCAAAAAAAATATGACATATATCTAATAATGGTGATTGTACAAATGAGTGCTGTCCATTTCCCTGTCAGGTATCCTTTGACTAGTATCTAGTTAGATTGTATTTATCACCACTGCTTGGATCGTTGAACTGGAAAGATATCCCAGCCGTTTGTTATCTTCAATTTTTGGAAAAGATCGAATTTGGGGTACAAGTATATAGAAAATGCTAAAATGTAACAGGAATACAATACTGTTCGCGGCTGTGTGGGTCACTGGGTTAGTGTTTCAGTTAAAAGTTTCTTTGGCAGATACTTTTAAGCACAGTGTCAAGTATGATTACATTCTTGTGTTTTTAAAAGACTTTTTTATTGTTAAAATAACGTTTTTAATTTCCACAAGTAAGCTAAATAATCAAGTGTTACGTTGAATTACATGATAACTTTATAACTATCAATTCAATTACTATACATATCAAGGAATTTATTATCTATTTCCATCGAATTCGATTTAAGAGGGTTTGGTGATCATGGCCATTTTAAGTAGTTAAACCTCTTGGAAAAGAAGAGCTACGTAGAAAAATATAAGAAATTGCATAAGTATGACTGACACATGTGATAAATTCTTTACTAAAGTTAGTATATGGCTAGAAAGATCATATTTTAAGTTGGTCTATTGTGTAATTAGTTGACCCAACAATCCCCCGTATGCTTCACCCCCTAGCAAAGAATATGCCTCAGGTGAATATTCTTAAATCTTGTTTTAGGCTTACTGCGCTGGTTACATGAATAGTGCTTGTAATCCGATCATCTACGCCTGGCGAAGTCCCTCCTTTAGGGAGGGATACAAGGAAATCCTCTGTCAGGAGCCATCTTACGTCGTCAGTGACGGTATGTATTCAACTCTGACGTCATCAATCATCTTCCATGTTTCTATTTGTGTTCAATATACATATACAGTATATACAATTTTGTCCTATTCTTTAAAGCGAGTGTTTTAAATGTTAGCTTGGAATATATACCACGTTATAGTATATCACTCTATATTTATAAGATTTTTTTTTCTTTTCAGTGTGTTTTTGATGTTTCGTATCATACAATTATATAACTTCTTACGTCTCTCTCTCTTTTGATTGATTGATTGATTGATCGAAAACTTGTATATATAGGTCTATCATAATATTATATGAAAATCCCAATTCTTTCACATCTAAATATTTCACATAACTTCACAATTAAGTGAGTACAATTACAATCAAATATTTAAAATCATCTCAAGGTGGAATTCAAAGCCGTAAGGATGTTTCAAACGCCCATCTTACTTACGTTTAGTGGGGTAAGTCAAAATCCCCGGTCGTCAGTCTCGTCTTTTCATTGGTGTCTATTTATAGAATGCGACCAGATGCTATGATCATGTGTTTTCGAGTGTTTGCTGAGGTTTTTTTTTTTTGTTCAGTTGGGCAGAAGTTCTCGTGTTTATAGAATGAAGTAAACCTTTTTTTCTGCTACAATATTTTTTTAAACAGTTAAACATTTAATTTTGACGCTACTAGTTTTAACATTGTAAGAATGTTCCAATTATGTTCAACTTTTTTAATTTCGATAGGCATGCATGTCATTTTTTTTTGTTTTCTTTTTAAAAAGAAAAGTAAATAGTGTAATTGTATTTGTCATAATTGTTCTCGAGTTTTGTGTTAGTTGGAAACTGTTTATAACTTATGTGCTACAGGCTTGGCTAAAAAAAAATTGTCAAAGCAGGATTTTATTTTTTTTTTACAATGAGAAGCACGCTTACGTGTATATTTAATGCCAGAACAATGAAATCTTTGTTGTAGATATTACAGAAAGAGATCTAATATCCTCATACAATATGCATGCGTAGGTCATAATAGCTATGCTATCCCATTCAGATATAGATTATCGATCAGACGTGCACTGCATTCGACCTTCCTGGTATTTTTATATCTAATGAATACAGTGGTTCATTGATGAGGTGAGATGAATTAATCTGGTGAAATTAACGATCCCCTGTATCTTTCAGATGTCAGACCATTATACAATTTATAATCCTTTTAAGACACCCAGATAGACGCTAGTGTTGGATCAGATAAATTAAGGATGTGCAAATACATTAAGCTGCTGAAGTCAATTCTGACACGGAAACTTATAGCCAAATTTTACATTATATGGCATCGTGCCACACTTTATATCCATGTTTATTATAGAATATAACACCAGGGACTACTTTTTAGGATTGCAATGTAATTAAGATGGTTTAAAAGAGACCACAAGGTCATGTAAATGAATTTTATTCAAACTAACCTTTTGCCATCATCCACCCTCTTAGTTCACCCATACCATGAAATATGGAGATAACGAACAGTATTCAAACTCAAAGTCCATTAAAGCAATACAAATCGGGAGCAGAGCAAACACGGACCTCCAAAAACATTAGAGGTGGGGCAGGTGCCATGAAGGAGTGAGCATCCCCTGCCGACCTGTCGTGAACATCTTTGACCTTTTAACTCAATTCACCTCTGTGTCAAATATTTCCTTCTTATATAATGTTGTTGAAGATTTTGTTTTGACGCCTGTTTGTGTTATGTGAGAAATCTGCTCTATATATAATAGAATATGTTTCCATATTATGACCTTATGACCTTATGATAACAATTATAAATATAATCATGTTAGGCATAAGCTAACATTGTCCACAGATTTGATGTCGTGAAAGTTCAAATACAGAAAGACATCTATAGACAGAAATGACGTCATAGATTTTTTTAGCTGTCTGCTGTGAATATTTCGAGCAGTCTCTGTCAATCAGACTCTGTTATCATGTCTTAATATGAAATGTAAATGTTTAAGAGTTACTAATATCAAGGGAAAAATAAGGGTACATGTATATGTCCTAATCTAGTTGTGTACATGTTTTTAAAATTATTAATTGTTTCAAATTCTGAAGGGACATGGCTCTGCTTTGATTTTATGTAGAATGAATTTAAAAAAAAGTATGCATCATAGAACCAGGTCATTAGAACAGAAAAAAACCTCTCTTATGCCAAAATGATTTCTGACACATTAGTTAAGTCGTGATCAGTTTACTCTTGTTGTTCGACACTACTGATGGAAGTTATAATGAACGTTATGAGCATTTCACGATTGGTTAATGGGCAGAACAATATTATAACTTTTATAATTTTGAGGAAGTTTACTTAAACTGTTTCGAATGACCGTATGTTGAAGCCATTACTGTTGAAACGTTACTGTTGGTGAACATCCCTTGATGATTTGTAAAAATCGTCTTTGTAACACCCAAAGAGATCAATTGGATATCAGCCAGAAAGAAAATTATAATGAAAAATGGGGATTTATGTCCCATGGCTATACATCTTTCAAATCCGGACCAAAAAAACCTACGTCAAATCCGCATGAAATCATCGAAAAACCGTACATAGCTATCTGCTCTCTATCATTACTGTTTGAACAACCAAGCGTATTTCCTCGCCTCTGTTAGGATTTCGCTTTGTCGTCATTGATAATTCATTATTTCGTGAAATTAATATCAACATCGAGGTTTTTACTCATCGCCCAAGGGAGACAAATCAATGATTTGAGATGAATTGTCGTCAGGGATATTTTCCCCTCTTTTGAAATCGTAATAGATGAGATAAATTAAGTTAATTTACTTGACCGGTAGTATTTATTTTCAGATAATACATCAGTTGTTATAAAAGGTGAAAGTTCTGTATTGACCAACATTCCAAACAAATGTAACTTTTATTGTCTGCATATCTTAATGGTATTTGAGTTTTGTATAAAATAACAGGATTTCATCTCATTTTTGTCTACTGTAGACTGCTTTGAACTACAGGGTAAATACTATTTCGTTTGTTCGGTAGATGTGCCAAAACTTTGTCGCTTTAAAATCTAATGAGGTGATGGAGCAGTTTTATTGATGGTATATGGATTTTTTATAGGTTTCTTTTTTTGTTTGCTCAATTGATTTTTTTTTGGGGGGGGGGGGAGGGGGGGTCACAAGGTTCCGAAGATAATCTATGATTCATTTCCAAACTTTTAAAAACTCCTATCAATTTATTTGTGCTCTATTCTACCAAAGGTAAACCCAATGGAAATTAGATATACCCGGCAAATATAAACAAAGGATGATAGAAAAGAATATATAATTTATCATAATAATATAAATGTTTATATATGCAAATGAAAAACAAAACAATTATGTTTATTTTCAAATGCAACAATACTCTCTAACAAATTTGTATGTGTATCTTCAAAATGTCATGAGAGAAAAAAATGTTGTAAGAACATGAACCACTGCCTCCCCCTCCCCCGGCCAAAGATAATATTGTTTTTAAGTCTATATTTATATTTAAGGACCAATGGGAACTGTGGTGGTGCGGACAAGGTCTAAATCAAACACACCGCTAGGTAGCGCTCGCTATCAAATCCAGGAAAGATCATCTTTTGACCTTACTCAGAAAATGTCGTAATTTGTGGTAATTGTCAGCATGATTAAACAACAATAACATCAGTCGAATTTAAAGTATAGGATAAACACTGCACAAGTACTACGCATACGTACATGAATGGACCTTAATTGTCTTGAAACAGAACTGTAATCTTGTGATACTGTTTTGAATTTTTAATTTTAAAAATTAATAAGGTCCTTTTTGCATGCAAACCTAGGATCGGTTTTGTTTGATTTTTGCTATGGTCGTATTTGTACGGTTGGGGCAGATCTACTCCATAGTGGTTATATAGAGCATGTTTAAGTTTGTACGCGAGTTTCTGTTTAGATTTATTATTAAAAGAATTATAAACTTTAGGTAGATCACTGCACAATGTTTACGTAATGTGGCATGTTTCACCAAATTCTTCTGTGCTTCAAGTTAATTTTTTGCTTTGGGGTAAAAGGAAGGGGAAAATAAAACATTCTCTGATTATCATCTTGACATTCTGTGAGTAAATTTTTCCATAGGGTGGTGAACCTAATTTTGGCAATACTCTCAGTTTATCTCTATGTTTTTGGGCACAGTGTGGTTATATAATGTTAAGGGTACGTTTTTTCATGGCAGTTGAGTTGCACTTCTTCTGTATATCGTCTTTATAAAACAACTGGATTGTACGTTAGCACACAACTACACAGATATACGTATGATGAAAACAAAATTCACTACATAAATTTGCTTATTTAACTATCTAAGGTTTCAAACTTGAGATTTTTATTGAAAAAATAATAGGACAAAAAACAAAACAAAACAAAAAAAAAAAAACAAACAAACAAACAAACAAAAAAAAACAAACAAAAAAAAAAAAACCCATTTTCTACTATCATTAATATTTATGATTAGTAAAGTAAGGCAACCTTAATAATGGCAGCGACATTGATTAATCTCAAGCTGTCAGCAAAAGAGAAACTATGTTCAAAATAACTTGCAGCACAAACAACTCTCGCTGTTATAATATAATTTAAGTTCACAGAGAGCTATGAAGTAAGCACAGTTGTCGTAAAATAAACTTTGTTTGTAGGCATCATCATATCTGAATGTTAAGGCGCCATTTTTGCTATAGACGCGTACATATAGAGAGTGTAGAAGAGATCTGTAGGCGCATGCTCAATATGTGACCTTTCACCTTATTCCAACAGGGCCTTTAGGACCACGGATACGTGTTCTGGCCAAAGTAGAAAGTATGGGGAACATCCCTGAACGCTTACTAGCGGTCAGAAAACACTGGTAATGTTTGACTTTCACCTCACCACCCGTTTTCCTATCACGTGCACTGAATTTGAAATCACGTTGAATTCTGTTTGCAAAGTTTTTTGGATTTGGTTTTGAGTTATTTTGTTGCTAATTGTTAGATATTTTGCTAATTTGTTTTGCCTATTCCAATTTACATAGCCCAAGTTATTGGACACTGTTATAGACGACAAGGCATGTATTAAGGTATAGAACTCTATTCAGCTCTCAGTGAATTCTTTTTTTTTTAGTTTTTCTTATGCTCTTAGCTGTAACTGCAGTGAATTTTTGAGTAGATGGCATATTATTTGCGCAAGCTAAAATTCAGAAAGTCGTTATTTATTCTTTATATATTGATTGCAACTTCGGTAGAAAAGCCATATCGACTGCACTGTTATTTAATCATATCCCTAAAATACCAAGTTTTTTTTCTCAAGCTAAAAGCTTTGAAATGATATACTGATGTCTCTGGTTTGTGGAATAACCATTGCAGATAGAAACCTAATTTATGTTACATCATACATCTATTGACATGAGGCAAACATTGCGTTTTTTCTCTCCCTTTGAAGATGGTGACTAACACTATTTATATATCCTGTATATGTCGGGTGATTACAATGTCGTGGTTGGTAAACTCAATCTGTCTGGCGTCGTTTGGAAAAAAATTATGACTCTATCATCTAAGGTTCCTGGTGTAAAATATATTGCAAAGTTCTTTCTGCTGCAATCTTCGAAGTTACCCCATCACACGTTATCAGTTGATGCGGAGAAAGCGATATTCCTGAAATATGTACAATTTAGAAAAAGAACAATTTCAAATAATAGCTTCTTGTTCTTCACAAACAGAGGAAAGACGTCGTTTCGCTTTAACAAAGGCAAAATCGCTTGAGATGGTCTACAGTCTTAAATGCCAAGTGTAAAGTATCTTAACCAATGGCTATCTTCGTTATATATTGTCCACGCCTTTAATGCAACCTATCAGCTTCGATGGTTCATCGTCGTCAATTTTAGTCAATTAGTATACCCTGTAAGCTATTGTTAATTTTTTGTGAACAGCAAGCTGCATATACTTTCTTGAAACTTTCTTTAAAAAAAATTGTTTAAACTTAAGTTATTTTTTTAAAAAGCAAGATATATATAGAGATGTCTAGTGCAAACAAAGCTCACATAGTTCAGTGTAGTATCTGCAGCTGTTTGTTGGCATTTATCTCAGTCGCTCGGGAGAAAAGATTATTCAGTTGCATGTTTCTGACAATAGTGATAGTTTTAATGTTAACCTCTTTTTTCTGAAAATATTGTCACATATTTAAAAAAAGAAATTAATAGGCAAGGTCTGAAAACAGACTTGCAAAAAGAGTCGAAATATCTGCACCCATAGTCGTTTAGAAGCAAGTTTTTCTTTTCTTTTTTTTTTAAGTATTTGGAGTAAGATCTGCATTGCTGTTTGCATAATAGTTTGAAAAAAGCTTGCAGTTTTAATGATGCATTTCGAAGCATGAAAGGTGCATTGCATCCCCATCCTCTGCATGTTCATTTCATTTTAAACATTCATTGGGTCAGCCCTCTATAGGTTATGGATTTCGGGGTACATCTAATCAAACAACTGGTATATTTTTCATGTTTCTATTGAATTTTCCATTTATAGGACAGATTATTCCCAAAATATTCATGTGTATGTATTGAGAGAATTATTTATGTATCGTGGTTGTGGATATTATTGGTAGGATTTGTTAACCAATCATAACAAAAATTATTTGGGGATTCGCAGTATTATTGATTAACAATCAATATATAATGTTTATTGTCATGTATCACCATATTTTGTCAGTACATTCCTCAAGGTTCATGAATGAGTGATGACAAAAATTGCATGTTAACGGATGTTAAACCATCAAAACATTTCCAGCTAATTGTCTCACACATTAACATACTAAAACGACGACACTCTTCAGCCATGATTGATTCAAGCGTCTTGTTCACATGGATTCATGTTTGTACAATTAATATATACTTATCATATTTATTATTGAACCGGTATAGATGTACGTGTATCATTAATTCATGATATATGTGGTGGAGATATCGCTCAGATTAATACATGTACAATGTAATGTAAACTACAAAGACGTTTTGTTTTCCATTTTACGCATGTGACTGTTTTACATCATCAATATATATATAAGTGTAAATTTTATTATTATTTTTTACATGAAATAATACATTTCAATCCTAGCAAATTTCCATACCAAAATCTATAACGTTGACGTTGATCGTTCATCAGTATACAGTTAAGGAGTCAGCAAGATTCCATTTCCCCAAGAGCAAGCCTATTACCCGAGGCGAAGCCGAAGAGGGGAAATGGAATCAGGCTATGACGTTATTATAATAATTAATAATATATCGTATATAGACATCGTTTTACAGCATAATTAATAGTTATTTTTATTTTTAATAATTATGCTATCATATTAACATTTGAGCTAAAATTTCTACTGAAAAGCACACTTTTTCATAGTTATTTTTTTTAATCTCTTTAATTGATTGTATTTGGGTTTCACTTTAACAGACAGGATTGAAGTATTATACAATCAGGAACATAGCCAACCATTTAAACGACTAACAGGTATCCGGGATAAGCGTTGCTTTGGTGGTATTTCGTCATATACTATATATGGTAAATTCGAATCGAATTATTTGTTAAAATATATTTTAGTTATCGGAATAAAAATTTATCTGCAGACTCAAAGCCACATTCATGAAGTACATTATTTTAAATTTCCTGAAGACTGGAATGCTCCTGAATGTTTAATTCCATTACGATACTGAAATAGAAAAGTATTGTTAGTGATAAGATATTTGTGTACCGGCAACGTGTTTTTTTTTTTTTTTAAATAAGTTAGGGAATGATTTATCTAAGTTCACCTATACTTAATGCATGTACATATGTACATTTCAATTGCATTTAGAGAGAACATCATAGATTCGCTTTATCTGATTAAAAACAAACAAACAAACAAAAGAGACCACCAAAACAACGTTAAATCCTGCAATTCATGTAAAACCGACTGAAATGATTATAAAAGCATGGATCTGATCTTTCAAGTTCTTTCTTTTAATTGTATTCTATGTATAAACTTTTATATAAATTCTGCTGAAGAATTCGGTATAACTTCCAAATACAGTAAACCTGTTTATGAACCTATACACACCTTGTTATCACGGAATGCCTTCATTCCTTACTTATGTTTAACCCTTTCTAATAAATTAAAAATAATTAAGTATAGAATATATCTATATTCTACAATTGTCTTCCTTGTATACATGTTATCCCTGCCTGTATTTCATTTGTCGAGGCAAAGTTAACTCAAACTGTTAATTTTGAAGGAAAAAAAAGAGCAAAATTTGCATGAATTCTTCTTTCCTTTTTTTCTCTGTTTGAAAAATTGACAACATTGTAGAGAAACTCCATTGAACTTAGCAGAGGGGTTTGCATAAACAATGAAATGCAAGAAATATTAATTCAATGGTTAAGTAACTTGGTTAAGAAAAGGCTAACTGTGTGTGTAACAGTTTTCTACTGCATATACCGATATAAAATGTCCTTGAACTTGTGTAAAAGTATATGGTCATGTGATATAACATTGTACTCTTTAAATCGAAAGCATGAAATTAACCCGTACAGAAAATACTCTAGTCTTGTATGAATATTTTACATCCACGTGCAGTAAGTGTATAAAGGTCGTACATTCCCCCCGTACCGTTTGTTAAAAACTGTAAACCCATGTGCATGTGAATGTATGGTGAAAATAGATTTAGTATTCCTTTGAAATAATGCATCGGTGTTGCCAACGATGATTAAAATGAATAACAATCTGAAAATCCCTAAGGAAAGGAATGAAACAACCATTGAGAGAGGATTAACTGACAAATGAGAACTGTTTGGGTTTTGCAATCTGTCACAACAAAGAATCAATGATTGTTTAATGTCGTTTTGTGTTAACTCCGATGCATTATTGCTATCTCTCATAAACGATGCATTGTATGAAGTAAATATAGTTTTAGTTAATGAAATTTCGAATTTAGCTGCTAGACATTTTGTTCCTTATTTTTATCTGAGGGAAATATAATTTGTTGGAAGTTTCAGTGATTTATTATAATGAAAAGATGTTTTTTTTAAATTATATTATGCTCAAATATTTATTTACTTCTTGTTGATCGTTAAGATTTCTCATATTTGAATAGTGGAATTGTGTAAATTTAAATAATGTGACGTCATTTTGCATAACACATGATGAAGTTTCCTTCCAGTGATGTCAAGTAATCTTTGAACATATTGAATAATTTTTTTTTATATTTTATAAATTTCAGATACAATCCATGATAGTTCTCCAGGCCCTCGTAGGCGGATCTCACTTTTTATCAACTCAATGAGGGGATCACATCGCGGATCAAGGATGGGATCCGATGACTCATTATCTCACCATTCTCTTCATAGTCTAAATAAAGTCCACAAAACTCACGACTCTTCTACGCACAAACTGCTTCGCAAATTAACAGGCAAAACAGCAAAAGGGAGTTCTATCATCAAAAGAGATGGATCTGTTATTTTAGTTAAAAATGGCAAAATAATTTCAATGCGCGAGGATGTGCGCAGAAGAAACACATCCGGGGATTTTGATGACGTCTTTCTCCCAAGTACATCTCCTTCGGCGGAAAAGTATAAAAATGGAACACGTCCGCCACTAACAAGACAACCCAATCTAAATATACTTTATGAAAGTAACTCTGAAAGGGTAGACATACGTCAAGCAAAGCAGAATGGGTCTGCTGCTATGTGTCGTTCTATTTCAGACGAGGATTTGAAATCCAATATGAACTCTCTTGAGAAATCTAATGCTAGCGCACCAAATATCGAGATACTTGTCTCGGAAGCTCCTGATGCTGAAAAAAATCATACACAGGAGGGCGAGTGTACACAGTGTCAGAGACTTTCCACTTTTAAACCTTTAGAAAATCATTGTCCACATGGTCTGTTTTTACCAAGTCCACAGACCATGAGACGGTCGCGCAGTGACACAATACACCAGACTGATCAACAGGAAGATACAGCTCGTCTCTTGTCAAAAAGTGACCATGATGTGTACAAGTTACCAACCCTGACATCCCCGTCCTTTGAACGCTTGAGGACGCATGCGCGAACAAACGAAAACGCAAGTGACAGTGAGATAAATGTGAACATCCCTCTTTATACAAGACGATGGTTAAAACATAATAATAGAAAAGATCCAACGTGATGAATTTTATCATTCTTGGAAAATATTAGTCGGGTTTTACTTAAACGGTCAGCTGTTTTACGTCGAAATGGTTACAAAAGGGCTATACATAACTTGTGCACCTCATGCAGCGCGTTGTTGTTTAGACTAAACAAACTGTATTAATTAAATTTAGAACTTTCTCCCAAATGAAGCACTCCATTTGGTTTTAATTTGAGATGAAGTATTATTTAACTGTAAATGTAGAATGAATTTTGCAAAACTTATCAGGCAAATTATTTTTTAATTTTTTTTTAATAAACGATTTCTTTTAAACATATACTTCTAAGCTTTACTATATAAAGCATGCATATTTTAAACGTTTATAAAGGCTTTATTGTTAAATATACAATTCAAGATTTTAAAAATGCTCTTTATTTTAGATGAACTTTACGCTTTTGGCAATCTGAGGTCGAAAAAGTGCAAAAAGCAGGATTCAAATTTTAACTGACCCAAACTTTAAAAATGAACAGTTTGTGTTTTAAAAGAAATACGATGATATTTGATACATTTATCTTTTATTTCTTACAAAGTTTTAAATATTAGAATCATGAGATAAGTCCTTTAATCTTTGGATTACGTGGTTTATTTTTCGACTTTGTGTAATAGCTCTAACAGATTTTGCCAGTTTTATTATACGTAATGTATAACACTAAAACACATACGTCAGCTGTTGTCTGTACCTATTGTTTTGTTTGAGTAAATGAAAATATATGTACAATAGACAGAAAATAAATATTTTTATTGAAAAATGACTTTTAAGATTTATTTTACATGATTTAATAAGGAGAACATGATATCTGGAAAATTAATGTAGACATACAATTGAAAAATTCTTTAAGAAATACATATGAATGATTTGTTTTTGTTTTCCACATCTTGTCATTTCATGCCTTTGTGCTGTTCCATAAATAAGGAAAAATCTAAAGAGACAGAAAAAAAATAACTCACAGACTTTAATTATTTAAAAAAATCATCATTTGGTCTACTGTATACTTTTTATGAACCAAAGTTTTTTTTTTTGTTTTTGTTTGTTTTTTGAAAAAAAAAATCATAATTATATGCATTCAAACAAGTCATGGGTATTGTAAACAAAATAAATGAAACAATATCAGCAATAATATATCGTATCTTAATTCCAAGTCATACAACAAGAAACTGAGGATTTTCCTTTATATTCCAAATTTCAAAACTTTGACCCTCCATTATGGTCCCTCCCTTACCCCAGGGGCCTTGATAAGCAACCCTGAATTTACACTTTATTGGAGTGCTTTCTCTTTAGCATGCTGGTCATAAGAATTTTAAAAAAAATCTTTTCTAAATATATTAAATTTTTGTCTACATAACGTGGTCCCACCTTTTTTTTTGGTCCCTTGGTTCTCGAAAAGAATATTTTAGAAATGACCCTCATCTAATTTGATTACTAAAGTATTCCTTTATCAATGAAAGAGGGCATGGTCTTCATTTGCAAAGTAAAAACTTCAACTCCCATCAGCCAAGTTTGGTTAAAATTTACTAAATGTATGGGATAAGAAGAGATCTAATGTAAATTGAATTAACAGACAGACAGACTGGTAGACGGAAACCGACGACGGACACACTATAGCTAAAGTGATAAAACAAATTTTATAACTGTGTAATTCGGCATTCACCTGGGTTCATTGGCAAACTGGACAACATTTTCCTTCTATGTAGACGAGTTTTTCACATTTTTGAGGGGGACAATCAATGGGGGCACACACAGCCTCTTTCTCTCCCGCTACACAACTGCAGAACATACAGGGATTTACAAACTTCTGTTCTCCTGGTCGGACTTTAATACCATCCGGGGTCCTGCAGCTGGCGTCATCAAGGTTAGCAGCGATGGCGGAGCAGACGATAAATCCAAGTAAAATGGCGGTAAAGAGGTTCATTTTCATTTTCTGACAAAGAAAGGTTATTTGATATACATACATGTATACTGTAAATGAAAGAGTGATACTGATAATTTTATGAAGTCTCAAAACTTCATAATCAGTAGAAAATGTTAAACAGATTGAAAACAAGCAATGTATTTTTTTTTTTATTGTTTCTTAAAAGTTTTTTTCCCTTTTTTTAAAAGTGTTTTTCCCAGATATCTAATTTTTTTTTTCCAACATAAGCTTTCATTCTATAGTATCATTCTATAACTAAATTTTAGACAGTCTTTGCCAATGAATTCATTTCCATTTCTTATAATAAAAAAAATTACATTATGTATTTTATTTTGGCGATTTCCTGTAGAAACAAGTATCTCAGGATGTTAGTTTTGTGGCAAATATCTCGAAAATTTGAGAAGGGGTCTTTTCTCATTAATATGCACATACTACATGTATACATGTACCTACGGCAAAGCAAAGAAGGATAACTGGGAATATAAAATTCTAAGTATACCTTTTTTATTATTTATTACAAATTAAAGAAGATGGGTGAACATGACGAGCAAAAAGTCCATAGTGTGACAAACATGAAGGTGAAAAATTAAATCTCAATTTTATCAAAATTTTCCTTGATATTTCATCTAACATTAAAATATACTTCATGTAAAATCTCTACAATTTGCAAAAATCTCACAAAGATTGAAATTATTTGCCTATGAAACATTATACACACACTAAAGAGGGCAAAAAGAGTCATTTTCTCATACTATAACACTATTTTTCGATATGAGTGGGTCTTCGCTCCATTTTTTTGAAAGTTAATCCTCAAAGTTTGCATAAAAATATACATCTTTTGGTTACCAAAAAACATGGAGCAAAGACCCACTATACCTTAAAAATATACTTTTATGATACAACAATCGCATCTTTCCCAGAAATACTTCTGTCCATTCAGTCAAGGGTCATATCACAAGCATGATTTAAATGCCAAGTTATTCATCCGGACTTGTGTAGTCTATAGTGGTTAACGTGCTAGTCTCGAAAGAAAATGTTACTCAGGATTTTTATTGCTAGGGTTCGAACCCAACGAATACCACATTATTTTTTAAATAAAAGAATAAATTTTGCCGAGAAAATTTTCTTCAGAAAAGTTTTGTTTATCATAATTTCATAAACTTCAATAATGAGAACGTTACTCTGAATATAAAATTCACAAATTGAATATGATTTTTATATATCTGAAGCTATAGGCTTTCTGCACGCTATGTTCACCCATCTCCTTACCTTTACAAAATGATGGTACATATTACATAATACTGACAAACATGTATAGGAATTATTATTTTGCCAAATGAAGGTTATTTACAGTACATATGATATTTAATAGTGCCCCCTTTAAATACATGACTGTATGTGTCATGTTATATGTCAAAAGGATGACTGCACTTAACTAGGGTTTTGATTTTTTTTTTTTTTTAATTTTTTTTTTTTTGGTATAGCTTCTATTACTTTCATATCTTATCTAATTTTACCTCTATTAATTTGTCAAAGAATTTGTCAATTTGGAATCGAATTTGAATGTCGAAATGATTTTTGACTATGATACAAAAAATATTTACATGTATGTATTTTTTTCCCCTTGCTGCTTCGAAAATGTCGAAAATTTACAATTGAAGATTTGGCAGATAAATATGCGTGAGAGGTGGAACTTAAAATAAATGGGCCTAAAATTAAAATGCTTGTAAAGAAAAATACGTGAAATCTTTTTCTCTTTGCCATATGGCATCAGTATTTACAAAGTGTCAAAACGAAATTAACAGTATGGTCACTTTTACATACTGTACATATATAGCTACAATGGGTACAAATGATCGTAAATTGATGTTTGATAATTTTACATGTCCGTAGAGCGCAGGGAGGAAGGCAGGTCGCCCCCCCCCCCACTTTTTCTCTGGGTATAGTATTTTGATTTAGACAATTTTCATTTGGATGCTGGTTCCCTCCCCCCCCCCCCAACACACACACACTTTTTGTTGCTCTAAGGTCAAACACTGTTGGACTGTTAAAAGAAGGGGGGTTTTTTGTTTTGTTTTGTTTTGTTTTTGTTTTTTTGCTTGTCAGATTTTGAAACCGTTGCTACGTGTCTGTTTTATGTGTTCCGAATATTATACTTTCGTGTATATTAGTTGAATCTGATTCGTCGAGAAATATTTGTTAAAAGCATTTTATATATACCTTTAAAAATTGTTTCCCATATAAATATAGGTAGAGTAAAGACAGTAGTATGAAATAGTATAAATTTAGTACAGGCCCGTAGGAAGCAATTTCAGTTTGAGAGGGGAGGGGGACGCAACTAAACATTTTTAGTTTGGAAGGCACTACCAAATATTCAAAATTTGACAAGCAAAAAAATTAAAGGTCATCAGATGTTATTATACTGAGGGGGCACAAGCATATAGTATCTATATTTTCTGTAGTATTTTATATATCGGCAAAATTATTGGGGGCATACTTAATATTTTATACAAATAAAATAAAAGTAAAGCGCGAGTGCAAAGATTCCACAAAGTCAATATTTTTTTTTTAATATCACCTGTCGTCAAGCAATATTGACTGTTGCTAAGTTCTATCGTGCTTCAGGGCGTGGTCTCAACATTCAGAGGGTAACAGTGTTTTTTTTTTTCAAACGTTTGCCGACGAATGAAATTCAAGTAATTTACAGTATAATGTTGAAAATTTTCATCCCTCGAGAACTAGTGTAAGGATTCGGTTGACATTGGTTTTTCGGGGTGAAAATTTTCAATGCTACCCTCAACTACATGCAATTTTATGTAATATAAATAAATTTTTCAGATGATTAGGAAAGATAGGACAAGTATAGGCATTATATTATAGTCAAGTTTCGTTTGAATATTAAATCACTGTTTCACATTTCGTATGATATTTTTAAATATTCAAATACACAATTTCTTTCTTATTTCAGTAGTATATAAAGTAATTATAATAAGTAAAATACCTACTGATTAAATTGTTCCGTCCTCGACAGGGATGTCCTTACATTGCTACTTAATCGTTTCCTGATGTCCACTTCCGGAAATGTGTACATCCTCATACAGTCATTGATAACTGGATTAATGCAGAGAGAGAGAGAGAGAGAGATTATACTATTATTTATCACATACATTCATATTGTATATTTTAGGTAATATTGTATCTTATGATATAATTGAATAATTCCTAGCTCCCTCATTATAGAAAATATACTATGTTATGACCTTCCAGGAGAACATACATGTAAAGACTCACTTTTTCTACATTGAGCTATAATAGATTAAATCCATTTTCTGAACGTACTAGGTTTTTACTGTTAATTTAGTTTGAAAATGTTCATAAAAACTGTAGTTGCTCCCCTTTTTGATACAGTATATAAAAAAAAATTCCTCATACATTAATGAAACCTGCCCTCACCAACCCCGAAATAAGATACGGAGTTTGGATAGTTCTCTGCGTCTTTTTTGGGTTGTCAAGAATTTTTCAGGTAAGTTGTTTTTTCCTTATAATGCCCCCTTTAAAAATCAATGCTTCGTGCCTGACATTTTTTTGCATGCACCATTAATACATGTAGATTAAGAAGTTCTAAGTTAATACAACTGATAATGTTCATTTTAACTCTGTTTTTTTTCAGTGCGTTTGGCTAGGACGTCAGTAAATGCTAACAAGAAAGATGACATTGTTCGCTTAATTAGTTTTTAATCATATAATAAAACAATCGAAGTACAATATTCACCTCATCCTTTGGGCTCGGTAAATATTGTACTCATCAGGTGGCTAATTCATCGTAATGACCTCAAAAACAGCAATAATCATACATGAAGCAATCACATGATATAACACAAGACGTGACTTACTTTTTAATGTGCAGCAAATGCAGCGAAGAATTGCAGGACATTTAATGGGGAGAGCCGTGGGCACTCTGAACGGAGACAATTCATTGTGAATTATCTCAAAAAGCGCTTTAGTTTTTGCACTGAAAATTTATATTTTAGCTCCTTAGCTATGATTTAAGGAACCTACTGATCTCGAGGTTTTAAAGGATAAAAGATCAATATCAAAAATTTATATATTCATTTGCAAAAAAAAGTCTTTCCAGATGATAACTTTATAATTCTTTTTTGAGATTTTCCAATAATTTTTTACGTCAAATTTGACTTCGAGAAGGCCTCTGCTTTGAAGTCAAATGGTCAACGAAGATAAGAAATTTGTATACATGTACAAGATTTTCCGATATCTTTAGTTCTTTTTAGCTTTGTCGGTGAAATTTTATATCACTTTAAACGACTTTATTGATTTTGAAGTAAAAGGTCAAGGTCAGAAATTCACAAATTTCTTAAAATGGTTTCCATATTATAATTTTAGTTCTCTATAAGCTTAGCAATAAAATTGTACATCATAATTCTCTTTGTTTTAGCCATTCCTATTGATTTTGAAGCCAAAAAGTCCAAAAGCCACAGCAAAAAAAAAAAAAAAAAAAAAAAAAAAAAAAAAAAAAATCATCTATTAGAAAAAGTAGTTTTCAATTGTTTACATTTGATCTCTTTGAGTGTTTGCAACGAAACTTAAGGTGATAAATCTTCAAACTGAAGAAAAAACCCAATTGAATATTTAAGGCTAAAAGGTGAAAGTCCATGGCCCAAACGTCCTTTTTTATTTCCATCTGCATTTTTTAAAAGTCTTCAACCCTCTTACTTTGTCTTTATGTGGGGGACATAAATTCCCTGGATAAATTGATTCCCTGTGAGATCTTGCAATTTTCAGAATCGCCAAATCTCTGGTTAAATGGAAAATATATATACTTGCGTGCAGAAATATTATTCCTTATCGAAATATACCCAAATTTACTGACCATAAACACTTTATAATCAGTTTGGTGAGCTCATCAGCCTTATACACATATTGATGCAAAACAACGTTTAAAAACATGAGGACAGTTCTGTTTACAGGGGAAAAAACGTTTCGGTTAAAATGACACAAAAGAGTGATCATCCAGGAAACATCACATTTTTTGTCTTTGACGTATTTTCCGACACCTTTGTTTACTTACATGCTCCTGTATTTAATCCACTTTTCTCAACATATGTGTCTTGAACCTATTGATGATTTTCATGAAAAGGTGAGTTAGAAGCATTATAGGATTTTTATTCCCATCAAATTGTCAAAAGTAAGCAAACGTACTGGTCATTTCACTTTACGATTGCAAGTCGCCCGCGTGGCACAGTGGTTAGAGCGCTCGTTCTAGAGTCGCGGAGTAAGGAGATGATCCTTACGTCGCGAGTTCGAATCCCACTGTGGGACGTGGAGACCGGCCCTTCGGATGAAACCGTATAAACCGAGGTCCCGTCTCGCAGTAGGTGCTGGCACGAAAAAGATCCCTCCCTGCTCAATGGCCTAAGTACCGAGTATAGGTCAAAAATGTGTAGCTCTCCGCCGGCAAGTGGTGGAGTCTCCATATGAGTGAGAAATTCTCGAGAGGGATTAAACAACAAACAAACAAAAAACTTCACGATTGCTCGAATGTCATGCATTGGACATTTCTAGACAACAAAAAGGAGAGTTCTTTATTAAATTATAGGAAACTGCATGAACTGTTAAGGCTGGAACATGTGCCTATTTCTTTTCTAAATAATAATTTATGGCTAGAAAAATTATCTTTTATATTTTAGTCGAATCTGCTGGGTCATTTATTGACCATCCGGCCTCTTTGTAAATCAAAATCTTCAGAGTTATCTCTCTTAGATAGAATTCAATATTAAAGTGACACTGTGACGGACAAACGGGAAAATTGACAACAGTAGAATTTTTGCATGATACATGCAAATTTTGTTCAGTTCTTGAAGATATTAGGTTTCAGAAAATTACAGGTTTCAGAACCTAAAAAATCTAATTTAATGGAGAAAAATAAAAGTAAAAAAAAAATCTTTGTATAACCCATCACAAAAATATTGCTTCACTTCTTCCTCTTTATTGTACGCATGCGCTGAAAACTTGATGGATTTACCATGGTTTCAATTTCATAGATATAAATGTCGGATGACTGAGAATTCTGATACAATCTTCAAAAAAGATGATCATAACTTATTCCTTACTTCTGCTTGCCCCAATTCAAAGTTGTTTACAACTTTTACGCTAAAAATAAAGGACGCGTGACCTTGACATTGTTCACATTGACGATAAAAACAAAGCGATAGATACAACATTTGTTTTTCCGGCACTTATATTTTGCAGTTTTTTCTTGCTTTACAGTGCAGTTGAGTTGTCAAAACTTCGCTATATTTATATTTCACAGAAATCTTTTGTTTTGTGATACAATTTTCTTAAAAGAAACACATGGTTTTGACTCATTATGCAACTTTAAAGTGACAGTACGGCGCATCTCATCAAAAAACTGACTTGATAAAATTTTCCGACAAGATTTGGAATTTTTTTGCAACTCATAAATGTATAAACTTTCAGAAAATTACAACTTTCACAATGAAATAATTTTGATTATTTCATTAAAATTAATAATTATTTATGGGACGTAAATATATACATCGCAACGTGTTCGGGGTTCCACATTCCACGCTATGCACGCATGCGTAGTTTTCATAAACAAAACAGCATGGTAAGAGAAGGAAGCCCTAAGAGCATGCTACATTGATAAAGTCGACCAAAAAGAAAAAGAAACTGAAAATAAAGCTTGAAAAAGCAACTCTCCTGACTAAAATTTAGTTTGGGGATTAATATAATTGTTGGATGAGGAAGAAACGGGAACTCGGCGACACTCACGCAGGGCTCGCGAAGGTTCTACTCGACAGGTTTGTTGATAGTTATCATTTCTCATTTTTCCATCGCTTTCAAAGAAAAAAAAATAGTGTAAACTCAACATAAAAATACACCTATGAGTTATAAACATTGTTAGCATTTGAAGTGCTATTTTTTTTAACTGTGCAGAAGAATATTTTGTTTGACATTTGCCGCGATAACGTATGATTTGGTGGTTTTTCCTTTCCAATACACAAAACGTCAACATTTGTACTTTTAATTCTGTTAAATTCGTTTGAAAGCAGACTAAAATCTTAACGTTTATTTTTTTGGATTATTTTATCAGAAAGTTATGATAATTTGCTTTTGAAAATTGCTTTTACCTCATATTCATTATAATTTGTGAACTCTACAGTGTAGGCACGTGCCGTTTTAGAATTCACGTGGTACAAATAAACATATCTAAGATTGCTCCAGTTCGTATGACCCTTGATTTTCCGGCAGATTCTAATTACGTTAATTTTGTATGAGGAGAGAATATTTCTGTTTCTCAAACTGCTTACATCAACTTTATACCTCATTTCTTAATGATATATTGGGTAAATTTGAATGAAAAAGCACACGTTTTGCAGCCGTACTGCCGCTTTAAAGTTTACAAAGAATTTTGTAATGTTTTAATTAGTTACAATAACTAAATAAAATGCCATTGATATACTGCATGAAAAGGTAATAATATTAAATCGTAATTAGAGGTCTGTGTCATCGTAAACAATGGACTTGATGGATGGCATGGTCAGTCACTTGTCAAGAATTCAGGGACAGAATTGAATGTCCCATCATACTGATGAATTATCTTAAACACATGTTACAGAACAGTCAGAAGGTTATATATAAAGTTAAAATGTCACAACATTCTGTTGACTTCAGAGTTCACGGTGGACTCATTGCACAAGGTAGAACAGAGGTGAACTACATTCTTTTTTTATTATTATTTTTTTCACGTTTTAAACTTCATGTGTCAGTTTAATGCATGTATATCAACAGATCTAAAACTGAATCAGAAATTTATCTAGTTATTGGTTTTACTTTAACTTTGCAAGTACCAAGAATATTCTACTTGTAGTAGATCGAACTTCATTTTAATTTTGTCATGTATCGGTATGATTTTTACGGTATTGGAATGTACATATATTTGAATTCAACTATTATGTTTTTTGCTTCAGAAAAGGAAAATGAGAGACCTGCTCCTCCTTCTTTTGTTTGTGATCGGCAGCTGTTTAGCAGACGATGATGATACTGACGGTTGTGAAATTATTTTTGGTCCAGACATTGGAGAAATCTTACCACACGGTGAGAAAAAGTTCGTAAGTCCATGCATATTTTGTGAATGTCCCGAAAACGCACCTGCTGGGACGCATGCGTCATGCGACAGAGTTCGATGTCCTGCTCTTCCCCGAAACTGCACCCAACCGATACAGCCCCAAGGAGAATGCTGTTACACATGTGAAACATAATTATTTCTTTGGAAGACTATATGGATTGACACTCTGTTGTTATCTACTGTTTAATAAATTTATTCTTTGTTTTGAAATGTATTTTTTTGATATAATGAATATACATCTAACTTAGTAAAACCAGATTTCAAGACTGTTAAAGATTCTTTTTTTTTTTTACTCTGCTGGTTCCGGCTTCAATAATGTTTGTGTTTGCATCTTTTAAATAATTTACTGCATATTGTGTCAAGTAAAGAATAAGTTTATAAACTATATCCCTTAATGTAATGAATCAACTACACGTACCTTTACCACTTAAGTTATATTTGCTGTTTTTTTTTTTAGCTTTTTTGCTTTCTTGAGCCGAAGGCTCAAAGAGCTAATGTTAAAACACCATTTCAACTCATTGTAATATTGGCCATATCTCAGAAATAATTAATTAGGGAAATATTAAATGTAGTGGTTAACGTTGTTTAAAAACAATATCCTCATGAACCACTGGGCAGATAATGAAACTTATCTAGAACAATGAAAATAAATTGTAGATTTAAAATTGTTCAAAGAAACACACTATGGCAAAGGGTATAGTCTCAAAGAAAATTCGAAGTTAACTTTAAATGGTACCTTGCTAAAACTCTGAAGTTAGAATGACTACATCTTGTCAGTTGATGCTTCCTGGGGTCTCAGGATATGTTGACCTAAAGTAAGGTCACAGTAACCTACTTTCTGAATTTTGCTTGTCAATTGATGCTTGTTGGGATCTCAGGATGTGTTGACCCAAAGGTAGGTCACAGTAACCTACTTTCTGAATTTTGCAGCTTTTCGTTTTAAAATTTTTGCTGATGCATTCTTGGACATAGTTAAGCCTAGGATCATCAATTGAAACCAACAATATCACATGAAGGGTCACCAATCATAAGTTGATGCCTCTAAGAGTCTCAGGGGTGTGTCAGTCCAAAAAGTAAGTAGGTCACATTGACCTTAATTCTAAACTTCATCAATATTATTTTCAAATTATTTTAATTTGAAAAATTATGGGTTTAGAATTATAAAATCTTATAAATTGATGCATTAAGGGGTCTCGGGATATTTTTGCCAAAAAAAATATAGGACACAGTAATTTGCTTTTTGAATTTTTCATTTTCAAATTGTTTACGATGCATATTTTGGACAGTGTGAAGTCTAAAACACAAAATCTCGTTTGATGCTTCTCAGGTCTTTGGGGTGTATCGATCAAATAGTTTTCTCAGTGACTAAGTTTCGCAATTTTAAGAACATTTCTTTTAACATCTTTTTGAATAGAGATATTTTCCCCACAAAACCGATATTCATTCAAAATATTTTCTGCGTATCTTTAAACCTTTTTTTTTTTTTTTTTTTTTTTTTAGTTTATTTTACTTCAACTCATCATGTACGCCTATATGTGTGTTTTGAGATAGGCGTATACTTTACATGGTTGTACTGAAGCGCAGCTTGCATAGGCAATGCCTACTACCAAGTGTTTAAATTAGTTCATTTAAACTAGTTCAATTTCAGGAAACGTTTGTAGTGCTTATGTCAACATATTCAGCAAAATCAGCAAGGATGATAACATTTATGGATCTTCGGGTCCTCGGCGACATTTTGAACCAATGTTCAGTTAGCATAATATTACGTTGCTACTCTGTAGTAAAAAATATTGATAAAAGGCACTTTAAATGTACGAAAAGACACTTTAAAATGTTCGAAATATGTTTTTACCTGAGGTCTAAACAACAGACTCAACCGAGGCATTGATTGAAATAATAACATGGCCGTTTTTCAAATCCCCATCGAATCTCTATTTTGCAAACAAATCCATTTAAAAATCCCGCAGTACCGAATTGGAGAAGGCGTCTTTTTAGCATTGTAACAACTTAGGAATAAGACAGGCGATTGATTTTATCTATTTAATTGTAAGAAAACTCACGTGGTAACGTTTATATAAAAAAAGTCCTCGAATCAGATAGCAGTTAATGAGCTGTCTGTATGGAAAATACCATTAAAATTGAAATTGCAAATTCCAAAGATTTTTAAGACGCTGACCATGGTAACGTCTGGAATAAAGGAATAAACTCTCTCTGGATCAGAAAGGTTAGTATAATCAATAAAGATCTTATTCTTTTACGTACGATCCCAATTAAATTGTATTGCAACTGTTAATGCAAAAAGTTCTGATGTTAACTCAAACCTTAAAAGTTCTGATGTCAAAAACACATCAATTTGTTCTAGAATATTCAAATTGTAAGCATAAGGCTGGTCACCTATCTGACTGTCAAATATGTCTAAATTATTTGAATTTTAATTCTTCCTTCACCCCTCCCAGTTCCCGAATGGCGATTAAGCACAACTTATGTGCATAAATTTTAGATCTTGTAATATGTAACTTTTTTTTCGAAACTGTTGAGTAAGCTCATTGTTAAGTGGTTTAATTTTATTTATTTTAAGATATCAGAATTATTTATCTATGTCAAAAACTCTGAAACCGCTCGCGTGGCACTTGAAACATTTACAAAGTAGATCTGATCGTTCTTTCGTAACCCATTTTATATGCATACAATTTAATATCACCGCATTGGCACAGACGTAAGCCTTTTAAAACGTAATGAGGGGCAGTGGGATTAAAAGATTATCTGTTAATCTCCTACACACTGAATTCCTGTGCAGTTCTGTGGGGTGCTTTTTCAAATATCATGCACTTTTTCGACTCATGGAGATATTATTCAGGCTATAAGCTGTGAATCTATATTTATATTCGGTGTGGATTTTGTATAAAAAGGGAAATATTAATTAATGCATGCTGCAGGTCTGTTATTGTTTGATTTCGTGATAGATATGATTCGGCTAGCTAATTAGGAATAATTATTTTGATTTTTTTATGATTAACACTACACATATATATTACATTAGTACTTGATAGAATGTCATGTACATGGGGAAGTATCTAAAGCAAAATAAAGCATTGTATTTTGTTCTCTTTCAGTGATATATTTTTGTCATAGTTGTTCTAACTCCAAAGTACATGTAGCTTTAACTTTGAAGAGAAAAACCTCACTCCTCCAACATAGTGCATTGTCATGCCCATTAGCCCCGATAAATACAGTCAAGTAAAATTGACTTAAAATAGATTTTTTTCGAAGATAACACAATATTTTTACTGTACCATTAATTCTGAGTAACATTCGCAATTTAATTTTCGACGGCAATTTGACTGGCTTCAAATTCCGGCAGCAGAAATTAACTGTGAATGCTACACTATGTAAACAAGGAATTGTTCATTTGTTAACAAAAAGTTTAAATCTCAACCCCTTGTACATTGATGTTCCCTTTTCTTAAAAGTTCTCAATGTTCGTCCTCTGTTCCTAGAGGGCGGGTGTACATTAGAGGGTATATTTGTAAGACAAACATCGTCTCAATATGGTGTTTGCCTTTAGTGTTTTCAGTGGAACCGGGGTTTATTAGAAGTTCATTTCCATAAGTAGTCCAAAATAAGTCTCAGTTTGCCCTGATTAATACGCACACAAGTGGAATTTATTCTCCCAAAGAAAAAAAATTAAAGATCAAAGAAACATTATTACAAACATATTTTGGATGTTACCCGGTATATTTACGTGAATTCATAACGACACGGAACCTTTGAAATTGAAACATCGGTAGATACTATAGACTATTACTGTGCATGTGATAGGTGTCCAGAGTGGAATTATAAGAGATCCTGTAGCTCTGTTTGATGGAATAATATTTGACAAGGACCGATCTGTTCGTAGCGATAAATTGCCGAATTGTAAGACGAGTTTAAATGTTATCCTAGCAAAATATCTTTTCATGTCGATTTTTTTCTACTTCAAATAGATAATGCACATATTTTGATCAATATATTTAACTCTTAGATACACAAGATTTCTTCCTAAACATTCAATTGAACTCAATGATTACTTTTTTAATTTCCCCCCTGGGTTTAAAATAATGCACGTATGTGTTTAAAATTTCTTTTTAGAAATAAAATGTCCTTAAATTCAGATTTAAGATAATTCTTCTATTTTATTTCCTTGTTATATATCGTGTCACATATCGTTTAAATTTTTAAAATACATGAAGAAGTTCAGTATGTTTTTCTTTGAAATCAAAGTTGAGTATTTGTAAGAAATAATGATAATAATAAATTTAATTTATATGTATATTATGTATAGATATTTTTTTCATGTATTAATGGGGAGTTTATAATGCTTACTGTAATTGTTGGTGTTGAGGAGTCGGACAGATGGACACTAGGGGTTCCACCCCCCGCAGACTCTCGCCATGTGTTCATAATTATGTTTATTTTGTTTATGCTGATGAGCAGTATGACTTAAAGTTATTTAATAAAGAATTAAAGTATATATATAAATCAAAATTAGAAGAAAAAAAATCGTTATGACTACTTCACACATTTATAGCTAAATTTTGAGATAATGATCTGTGAACAAAAATCTCAAAGAATACAATTTACATCATCTACATTTAGGTGTAGATACAACTTTTTTCTTTAAAAAATAGTTTTTGCTTAAATAAATACTCTCGCGTTGCATGCTTCTAATTAATCTTTGATTCTAATAACCATTCATTACTATTTGTTTTATTTCAAGTCCGTGTACAATTGATTTTTATTCCCAGCTATCATTTTTACAGTTATGCAACACAAGAAACTCAAATTCTCGATGATAGATGCAAGCAAATTCAACATAATGAAATCAAATTTAAAAAAAAGAACAGATGATAAATAATTGCTTTGTTGTTTTGTGAATTTTATAGATTTTTGTGAAATTGTGTTAAAAAGAAAAATGCTGCTTACTTAAAAACAAACAAACAAGCAAATAAAAAGTTGTGTATAACCGTTCAAAATGATTGACACCACAAGTTTTGTTTACAATGTACTTAAATGACGAAACTTCTGTATTTTTATTTATTTATTTTGAATACGTTAATACAAAGATCCTTGCCCTTGCTATATATTATTTATAAAAATTTATAAGAATTTCAATCCAATCCAGAGCTGTTGACAATGTGATTTAAACGCAATTAAAAGATATTTTTTAAAATAAGGGTGCTTGAAAATCGGATCATAGAAAATTGAATGCAGATTTAATCTGTTTATCGATCTAATTCTTATAATAACGAGGGACAAAGTTTGTCAACTGTAGTGTGTTTTAAATTTGAGAAAGAAACATTCCACCGGAAGAAATGACTATTGAATGAATTGGCCTTATTAAAATTGATTGTAAAATAGAAAAAAAGATTAAACTTTATAATACTGTACTTTCTTTTTCAAAAAATGGCATTAATAGCCGCCCCAAGCTCATTATTTTTGATTGACACAAAGAAGTTTGTTTAACCTGAGATTTAAAAGTGATTTAATATTAAAACTAAAGGCCGTTTCATTGTATAGCTTTCATTTTAAAAATCTATTGCTTTTCAGACCACTAGCAAGCAATCTGAATATAAAATTTATTTGTTATTTTTACTTTTAAAATGTAAGCACGTTAACTGTACATGTATAATTAAACAGACAATTCTGAAGAAACCTGCATCTAAGCCTCTCATAGATTTGTTTGTCTTGGGGCTTTACTTTGTTCCCCCCCCCCCCCCTTTCCACAAAGGATGGCCAGTTTCTTATTATTATCCTTAAGTCTTATTTTCATAAATATTATTTTTGTTTTTTCTCAGAGAACTCTTGCCTGGTTGTCAAATTAAAAAAAAATACCCAAGGCTTCAGATAGTTGGAATATGAGGTACATGTATCTGTATAGCTATATAAGACAGTGTGTTTGGTTTGTAAGTTTGACCTACAAACGTCCTTAAATTTTGCTCTGGAGACAATATATGGGACTGTACACTGTACAGGATATATTTCATTTCTATCGCTTAAATCTTGATTTAGATTAGATACACGTTGCAAGTGCTTTTATATCATCAAGTGATGAAATGAGATTTGATTCACATACGACCTTTGAACTTACAATCAGTTTTTAATAGTTTGGCCAGTAAACCTGACCAGAACATAACCTCCTCCCCAAACATCTAAGCATATATTACTTGGTAAGTCGGCAATAGTCATTGTAATAAGCGCTATGTACCTTCATGATCCATATATGACATTGACCTTTGACCTCAAAATTACTTATTTGAGGAGAAAATTTATTTATGCCAGTTTTTTTCATGCTAAACATATCTGGCATGTTAGCACCCCCCCCCCTTCCCCTTCACAAAAACTGTGTTCGGGCCAATGTGATTTCTTTAGTTCTAATTTGAATGAATTTCATTGTACTCAAAATATTTCTAGTTCTTAACTATTTGAAAGGATTTTTTTAATCTCCAGTCAAGGGCAGCTATACAAAATATTTCTTGTACTCTACATAAAACAATACACATTTTAAAGAAAAACATATCCGATTTCGTATACATATTTAATTAATCTGATGTTTTGATATCATCTAGCCTCTTAATTTGATTAGATTCCGAGCTATGGGATTTTATCAATTCCCAGGATATTAATTTCTCGGTCATTTTCTTCCTTCGACTTCATCAGACTTTGATATTAGATTTCTAATATTGATTTTAAAAGCTAGACTCTTGGATTGAAATATCAATCACCTGATGTTATTTGTCGAAAACATCATTATATGCACGAAACAATTGTTTATGAATACACAAATAACTGCTTGATAGCAAGTCTGATAAATTTGTTTATTTGCGGTAGAGTAGCATATAACCAACTTATTCTACTTTTATTCATGTAAAAAATTGACTGAGTGAAAAAAAAAAATACCGTGGAAAAATTTTATAACTAGGATTAGTATGCTCTTCTTTTAATTTCAGGTGAACGCTAATGCATGGAAATCTTAATTGATGGGATTAAAAAATCTGATTTATCGTAAAAAAAGAAAACAAATAAACAAACTAACGAACAAAAACAAAATTTGAAATTCAACCTGTTCCCGGAAAAGATGCTGTGAGAATTAGTTGCAAAACTAGAAATCTTTAAAGAAGTTTGATCAACATGGATGTCGTGAAGCAGATTATAACCCGTCCCAGAGTTCTCCGCTCGGATCCGGAACTGGAAATGCTCGTGGAATTCTTCCGGAAAAAGAGTCCTCTTCTGCAGAACTTGGATAAAAGTAAGTTTTGAAATTCCCAACTCGATATACATGTATAGTGTACCAGCTACGATCATCACAGATTAGAGAAGCGTATCAGAGACCAGAGAAGCGCAAATACTGACTTTTAAATACCCCAAAATACAGCTGAATATACACTCTTATGGAACGCCATAGCTGTCTTAAGGTATGATACATCATATTACATGGTGTGTTCTATATAATAAAGGGTTGATTCAATATATTAAATGGTCATCACTCCTTGTTAAAGGGTGAAGAGCACATAATACATGGTGCGTTCAATATAATAAATGGTCGGTTCATTATGTTAAATGGTCAACATTACTTGTTATAGGGTGAAACGTACATAATAAATGGTGTGTTCAATATAATAAAGGGTAGGTTTATTATGGTAAATGGTTACTGCCACTCGTCATAGACTGAAATGTACTTAATACATGGTGCATTCAATAAAATAAAGGGTTGGTTCGTTGTGTTAAATGGTCACCACTACTTATTATAGGGTGAAACATACATAATACATGTAATTGGTGCGTTCAATATAATAAAGGGTCGGTTCATTGTGTTAAATGGTCACCACTACTTATTATAGGGTGAAAGTACATAATAAATGGCGTTTTCAATATAATAAAGGGTCGGTTTATTCTGTTAAATGGTCACCGCTACTTGTTATAGGGTGGAACAAAATAAATGGTTAGTATTGCATTACAAAAGATACGTCAAGTACATTACTTGGTGTGCAGCTAACAATATGATGGCTTAAATGGTGTCTTTGGAAGGTTTAAAATGCCACACTCTTCTTTTGATATTCTTATTTTAATTTTGTGTGTCAGTATGTGTGTGTGTAGGGGGGGGGGTACCCAAACTTAAAGAATAAGGGGGGATACGCAAACTTGAAAAATCTAGTTTAGTAAGGGGGTTAGGTACGGTCTAGGTCAGATTATTTATTTTCGCCCAAGTGGGAGACAGATTGTTTATTTTCAACAATTTCATGGACAGATTATTTATTTCCAAAATCTTCCAGGCCTCCCCTACCTCAGAATCAGTCAAGTTTATCTGACACAATAAAATAAAATATCAATTAAGTATCGATGTAGGCCTGTGGTTCGAGGGGGAAGAGTGCACCGATTTAATATGAAAATTTTCATTCAAAGGCTGCTTGCCCCCCCCCCCCCCCATATTTTTGTAGCAGCATGGTTGAAATGTGTCCCACTTTAATGCATTGATTTAAGAAAATGTCGAAAAGTTATAGAAAGATACTACACCACCCCCCCCCCCCACCCCCAGTAGGTTTTTTTTTAATTCTTGTCAATTTTTTTTATCCCCCGTTTAAAAATGTTGCTATGGGCCTATGTGGCAAATTAAAAGCGTTGTATACTGTATAGACACGACCCCTCCTCCAATTTCCACACATAATGCAAATGACAAAAAAGGGGGGATAATTTTTACGAAAGGATTGAGAGAGGTGTGGTCTTTCTATAAACAATTCTATTAACATAGAAAAATGATATTTTTACAGAGGAGGAAATATTATGTAATAAGTGACTGTGATGTTCCTTAGAAGATTACACATTACGTACGGCAAAAAGAAGATGACACTAAACTCTCCCTCCCCTTCCATCAGCCGTTCTTTTTTATCAATCGTACTTGATAACGATATACATTTAAAGATACGTGACATTTGTGTACTAAAGGCAAGTACCAAAAACGAGTACTGATTCACATCACATTTCTTATAGAATTAAACGAAAACACAGAAGAATATTATGGAAAGTAATTTGATTTTGTGTTGTTGGGGCTGGGAGATTCTAGATATAAATTATACTAGTATTCCCCCACTGCGAAGAAAAATAAATAAATGGACCTTGTTAGGTGGTACCACCCTGAAAATATAGAGTTTGGGTACCTCCCCGCAATAAAATATTTTTTGGCTTGTCAATCTTAATGAACATGAAGAGGAAAATTAAATCTGACCCAGATCACCTTTAAAATAAATTATCCGTCCTATACCGACATAAAAATAAATAATCTGACACTGAAAAATTTGCCAGCGCCCCCCTTTCAGAATGAAATGGCCGATTCCTAAAACGTTCCGGGAAATATAGTTTTACGGTACGTTTCATTGATAGCTCGCACAAGACCTCAATGTATATTCAAATTTGCATAAGAGGTCGCAGCGCCCCCTTTCGTCCTAATTTGCTTAGAAAATTTGACTCGGATTACTCATTCTAACTTTCTTATTTTAACATTTTTACTATTACTTACTCTTAATTTCTAACTCCGCCTTTACACATTTTTTTACTGAAATAAAGGAAGGTGTATATACTGAAATAAAATTTTGAAAGTTTCTTAAAGAATCAAGTGTCTTTGGAATATAATCTTTCAATTTCAGCCTCATAAAGTAAATAATAAAAGCTGTACGGTTCTTTCGGTGACCAAGTAAATATTCAAATTAAGAAAATCTGTAAAAAGGTAAAAATGAAATGAAAAATTGAATTGGAAAAACAAGATGTTAGAACTAAGATAATAAATAAATGAAATATTAAAATAAAATTGGAAAATCAATAAATTAGAGTAAGAATACTAAAAGAGAACTGTGCCACGGAAATCTCTCCATAAACACCAGTTAATTAAATCAACATAGCTAACTTTTAATGTGTGTTTTTTGAAACCATGTGAAATTAGCTGCACACTGATTATATGTACTTAACGCATTTTTTAAAACGTGTTAATTTCTATTTATTATGTGCCTTTCACCCTATAACAAGTAGCGGTGACCTTTTAATACAGTAAACCGACCCTTTATTATATTGAACACATCATTTATGTACCTTTCACTCTATAACAAAGAGTGGTGACCATTTAACATACTAAACCGACCCCTTGTTATGTAGAATGCACTATTTCTTATACACCCTTAACCGTATGACAAAGGATGGTGATCATATAACATAATGAACCGACCCTTTATAATATTGAACGCACCATCTATTATGTACGTTTCACCCTATAACAGGTAGCGGTGACCATTTAACATAATGAACCGACCCTTTATTATACTGAACGCACCATTTATTATGTACGTTTCACCCTATAATAAGTAGTGGTGACCATTTAACATAATGAACCGACCCTTTATTATATTGAACGCACCATCTATTATGTACGTTTCATCCTATAACAGGTAGCGGTGACCATTTAACATAATGAATTGACCCTTTAGTATATTGAACGCACCATTTATTATGTACGTTTCACCCTTTAACAAGTAGCGGTGACCATTTAACATAATAAATCGACCCTTTATTATATTGAATGCACCATTTATTATGCACGTTTCACCCTATAATAAGTAGTGTTGACCATTTAACACAATGAACCGACCCTTTATTGTATTGAATGCACCATTTATTATGTACTTTTCACCCTTTAACAAGTAGTGGTGACCATTTAACACAATGAACCGACCCTTTATTGTATTGAATGCACAATTTATTATGTACGTTTCACCCTATAATAAAAAGTGGTGACCATTTAACATAATGAACCGACCCTTTATTATATTGAACGCACCATGTATTATGTACGTTTCACTCTATAACAAGTGGCGGTGACCATTTAACATGGTTAAATGATCCTTTATTATATTGAACGCACCATTTATACACCTTTCACCCTATAACAAGGGGTGATGACCATTTAACATACTAAACTGACCCTTTATTATATTGAACACACCATATATAATGTATTTTTCACCGTACAACAAGTAGTGATGACCATTTAACATAATGAACCGACCATTTATCATATTGAATGCACCATGTATTATGTGCTCTTAACCCTTTATCAAGGAGTGGCGACCATTTAATTTACTGATTCAACCCTTTATTATATAGAACACACCATGTAATATTATGTACCATACCTTAAGACAGCTATGGCGTTCCATACACTCTCCTCCAAAATTCGGTGAAAACTGCGAATTTAGATGTCATTGTTCAAATCGAAGTGAGGTCTGTGACAGACATACAGGAAAATGTTTCAGATTAAGAATTATAATGATCTGCCTTGTACTTTTGGAAACTTAATTTCATCATTAGCACTATCATCAATTTTCTCTACACCAGTCATGGGAAATAGAAATTTTACTTCGGGGGCTATAAAGTAGCTATCATGGGTTTGCAATTATGCTTGCACTTTGACAATCTTGATTTTTGAGTTTTATTTTGTTAGATATGGAGAATTATACCGCGGGCTTAGGTAATGAGTAGACATGCTGTTCATAATTATATATGATTGAGCCTCCTGTTTTTGTCTTTTTGAAAGGTTACAGTGATTTTACTGTTTTAATCCACCTACATGTATTATTTACCCGTCCAAATCAAGATGCATTTTCTTTGAATCAAAATTATCTTCTCTAAAATCATCTAGAAAAACGGCCACGGATTCTTTTTTATTTAATTTTTTTACAAGCAACATGTTGAACCAATTAAAAAAATAAAGAACAACAAAGATTGAATATATTTTCTCATTTCAGATATTTTGATGGACATAGGCAGAAATTGTACCTACCATAAATGTACTAGGGACGATATCATCATAAAGCAAGGGGAAAAGGGAGATGCGTAAGTACGATAACTCTTACAAAGACACAAAATTGTGATTTATACTATTTCTCAAATAGAGTGATTCCCCTTAGATCATCAAATACATATTGGTTCCTGAAATGAATTATCATAATTCATTAAGGAAAAAAAAAACATGTTAAGTACTTGGTCCTAATAATCAATAATATACTGGTACTTTTGTACCAAAGAAACTTTAATCAATGGATCCAAAAAATTGTACGAAATGTTCTAAAAGCTTGAAGGATGGTTGTAGGCTATTGCAAAAGATATTTTATAAGCCTAGAATTCCCCAGCTGGGTATGACAAAATCGTGTTAACGTAAAAATCAATCCAGCTATCGGGCTAGGGGATTTAAATAGGATTAATATGGAGCTAAACACCAGGTCTATTCTGTAAAGTTAAAAACCTGTAAGAGACCACTTGACCTAAATTATACTGATACTACAGTTGTTAAGAAAATGAAAATCACAGAATAGGGAAAGCCCATGTTCTAGTGGTGACAGTATGCACCGTCCATCTCTCTTTCTGTCTCATTCTCTCTCTCTCTCTGTCGATTTGAATTATTCTGTGCCCGTGAATTCGAACCAAGATACTTTTACTATTTCGATTTGGGCAGAAATTCTTGTAATTTAGATTCCTATTAATATTGCTCAAGATATCAATAAACTATAAGTTAAGTGAATTAATGATGGTTCACTGTGTCTAGTGCCCAGTGAAACACGGAATGCTCCTCTCTCTCTCTCTCTCTCTCTCGGCAATACAGATTGAAAAATGTCAGAAGTGAATGTCTCAAATTTGCACTAATCCCGTAGAGCATGATAAAGCTATTCAATGTTGTAATACTTTTGTAAAATTTGTGAAGGAAATCTTAGTTATTTCAATATGAGACGACTCTAACTCTAATTTAACAGAATAATATTGTTATCTGACAATGTTAATGAATACATATTCCCATAAGCTTTTAACAAGAGGCACTTGAGTATCCCAATGTATTCCCGTGTGCACGGTGAAAACGCCTTTTCCCATAGCACTTAAGCCGCCAAAGTCTGAAAATCAAGCAAATTCAAAAATGAAAGGTAATTATATTATCTTATCAATGAAAAGATAGCAAACATTTAAAATTCCTTTCCCTCTCTGAAACGAATTGTTAAAGCAACAATCACCATTATTCCGATAGCTACTTATAAAATAAAACGGAATGGTCGAATGTTGTATATACATTTTAATTAAAAAGTTTATTTGAAAGTGAATATTCTGTTTGCTTCATATGACACGTGTTAACTCTGGTACTTTTTAGATTTTGTAAAGTCAGTGATATCTATATATAAGAAAGGCTTTTAGTATAAACGAGTTAGATTAGAAACTAATGAAACACCGACAATACATTCTCTGAAACAAAAATTGTTAAAGGAATAATTGAACACGATAAGGTAATTATATTTTTTCTCTTTAGTATGAAATTTAAGAATGGCCGAAAGTTTTGACAGCATGTTTTATTTTTCACTACCGTTAAATGTCACACTGGATAAAATCCGTTAGTTAAATACTTATCAAATATACTGAGTATATGCTCCGAGATTGTTATTTCAGCTGTGATTTGATTGGATAGATTTTCATTTTAAAATATTTAATTTCTTTCTTGTAGTATTATATATTTTTATCACTTAACTTTTATATTTATTTTTTTTAAATCAAGAACATATTCACATATATTATACATTGGAGCTTTATTTGTTTTCTTTTAGTTCCAGTTCAATTAAAGGGCGATTTTTTTCTAGTTTAGTGGGGATGTTAACTTTGAACTTAATTTTTAAATTGATTTGAGAAACGCAGTATCCTGGCGTCATATATATGGTTGATTTATTTACTCCAGTTTATATTGCACCCAAAGTAAACTTCAATATACTGCCCAATAGTAGACCCACTAATGTAAAGTTCCATACGAGGCAGCAGGTAACGGATCTATCCCACTCCTGTCTATCAGCTACATGTGCCTCCCAACACTATCTCTGTGTCCTCACCCCACGGGATCCGCCCCCCCCCGCCCTGTTCACCGAGTTCCACGCGATTCTGTGGTGATCCCTTTTATCCCGTCACCTTTTCGGGGGGCTTCTGTGTTCCGTTAAATTGTTATCTTCATGCGTCGCACGGCGGACAATGATATCAAAGTCAAATGTCGAATTCTTGCTTTTTCTTTATTTACATATTCTTGACATTCCAATCACTAGAAGCCATATCGTATATATTCAGTATTACAGGTGTTGATAGGGATATGCTTGGTTTGTGTTTGAATTATTTTTTGAACGTAAATCGAATCGTCGTGATTTTACGGGGTTTATTTCTAGGATTATTTGTCCGTTTATATTTTAATATTTATTAGAGGTAAGAGCTTATATATTAAATATTTTTTTTTTAATATTTTCCCTAATTGTAATATTTATTCTAAGTAAAAAAAAATGTTTTCACCTTTTTGTTGATGACACTCTTGTAAGCCATAGAATGTCGACTACTATTTTTGATTTAAGCAAAATTCATTTATATCAAAACCGCGATACGCCACATGAAATGAAATTTAAATAAATGAAATAGGGCAATGCCTAGTAGTTCCATATGCTAGCTTTGTACACCTGAAGTATCGGCATCTACTTTGAATTCATGCTTCAAAGGTTTTCCAAATAAAATAATCTATTCCGGTACAAAATGCGGCATGATCTTATCTGAATTTCTACGGGAGGGATATCTACGAGTACATGACGATATCTGGATATCCGTAAAGTCTAAAATTGTCTCGTCGTAAAAATTCAGCATCAAAAGAAAACTTTATACATGTACTTGTACTGTAAACTTTTTAAATTCAAACGATGATAGGGTACTTGTATATAATGTCAATTGGTAGATTAACGATGGGAGGTGGAATAAAAATGTAAAATGTTCTTACTCTCTTGATTTGTTGTGAATTAAAACAAAATTAAAGACAGAACTTTAATTGACATTATAGTAGATCTCTCTTCCTAAGTTCTGCAGCTTAAAGTAAATGTACATGACTGTATACACCAAGGATAGAGCATGCGACTTTCAGTTCAGTTGTCGGGAAAAATGAATAAAAATTATTCTGAGATTGAAAGGTCAATCTAACGTTAAATACAAAGTATAAATGCTTCAGGATATTTTGTTGTACATAACCTATTTTTCCATTATTTCAGGAGAAAAAAAAATTATCTGTGACGTTAGCGAAACTGTGCTTTCCTTCAGGAATTAAAACGTCCCTTTTTTATTCCATGTTAATAATCATTTGAAATGTCAAACAATCCTCGATACTTATCAGTTAAATGTTAAAAGAAGAATTAAATGTCCTAACAATTTCATACGAACACATTAAGAAGTATGCACTTTAAAATTTTAATGGATTTGAATACATGTCACAATGAAAATTCAACTCTCAACAGCAGGTTTTTATCAGAATTCAGAAACTAATGATGTCCCCGAATCAAATTACCTATACGATTATTGACTGTTACGTGAACAAAGGAAAGAAATCACATTATTTAACTATCTATCTTTGTTGTCGTAAAAGTCGAATGGGTAGGACAGAATTAATAGCTATATTATGCAGAAGCACACTGCAGTAGGTACCTGATGTTTCTCAGGGCATCCGAGGTAGGAATTAATTTTATTAATTTTGTTGCATTTAAAAATAAGGGATTCATTATGCTTTCAATTGTTTCTTTTAATTGTTTCTTTGTCGACAAATCATTTGATACGCACCTCGATGACCAAAATGAATTTAAAATCGTTTTTTTCCCGAAAGTCACAAATAAAAAAATGAAGTATTTATATGGCTTGTGACACTTCTAGTCGCATTAAATAAATAGTAAATAAATAGTATGGACTAAAGTATCCTGGAAAATATTCCAGTGAGAATTTCGTAGGTTGTTAAATTGTGTACAATTTACGAAAATGGATTTGAAGTTAAATATTTTTATCGAGAATTTCGATGGACGTTTTACATGCCCAGTTTCCAGCTGCAGATCAGGAAAGATGTCTATTTATAACATGAATTAAATCTATTTACAATGTTTGTGCTATTTAACATGTAAAGAACCGTGATATACTTTTTATTACTGACACGATATTGACACAATACCAACAAGTTATTGACACGATACTGACACAGCACAAACAGTTACCGAAAGGATACTTAATGTTACTGAAATGTTAACGATAGAATTTGGACACAATACCAATTGATTACTGACAGGATACTGACAGTTAACAAATAGGATATTGATAGGTTACTGACAAGATATTGACAGGATATTAAATGGTTACTGGTTGAATCCTTGTAGGTTACTGACAGGTTACTTACCTAATTACTGGCCGATTACTGACAAGATATTGACAGAATATTAACTGGTAATTAATTGAATACTTACAGGTTACTGATAGGTTTCTGATAAGAATTTAACTACTTTCTGTCAGAACACATAGAGATGACTTGGAGGTTACTTACAGAATATTTGACAGATTACTTATATACAAAATACTTAAAGATTACTGACAGGGTACACTGATGTGACACTCGCCAGAGTCGGTGTTATACTTGGCTGATTTTTTTTATATAAAATGGAGGAAAGATGGATCCAAGTCGTATGAAATTCTTCAGAGAAAATGTGTTGAAGATTTCAATTTGAAAAGGAAGAAATATGTGCCATACTTCGTTGAAGAACGATGCTTTAATGATACGTCTAGTTATTAAATACATGTGCCTCCTAGTATAGCAGTTCATGACTGGTCAATTATAAAGTCTCCTTAAATGTTTTCTGGGCATATCTTTTCTGTTGCTTAAAAGTGAACATTACATGTATCATGTAGAAGTGATATAACCGATTGTCTAAATATTCCATTTGATTAAAATTATACATGTATGTGTTAGTTTAAAGGAAGAAGACGAATTTAATCGGTATGTATGTATGTCTGTTGGTGATACGGTACAGCATGTTGTAGCTGGGAGTAAAGCTATGCTATATGAGTCCCAGAATTTATTGACCATTATGAACCAATGCTAAGGATAATGGATATTTTTATGCTATTTTAATCAGGTGTTGGAAAGAAAAACCCTTAGTTAGCGTATAATGTGTGGTGATAGGTGAATTCTATTAAATATTTTTGGAATGTTAGATTATTGTTAATAAATGTTGGAAATACCCAATTACAGAAAAATTTATATAACAAAGAACATAATAAATATTTGACAAAGTTGATAATTCATCAATCCTGCATTAGAAGTTTAGCTAGTTGCTTGGTTTATTCATGATTGGCTACTAGAGTATTACACACATCTTCCATATACGTTCAATGTAATATTTGATATTATCGAGTCACCTTATGATCGAAGTTAGCGAACATTTGACATTAAAGCATTTTTCAAGCAATTTTGCATTAGCATTTTTACAGTTCCATTGTTAAGGTTTTATAATGGGCAAAAAGGAATATATATATATATATATATATATATATATATATATATATATATATATATATATATATATATATATATATATATATATATATATATATATATATATATATATATATGAAGGTTATTTACAAAAATACATTGAACTATATGAAGTTAAAGTCAACTGGAGAATAAAGTAATTATTATTTTAAGGAGTGAATATGTTACCTTATGATAATTATCATAAGACAATGATTATTAATTAGATTTATTTTTTGTTAAGAAAAACCCTCTATAAAAAATATGAATATATTTAACGTTTTACGAAATAAAGGTAAGAGAACTTTAAACTATATAATTGATGTATTTATTATATAGATAAATGAATATTCTCACATCTTCAAAGAGGCTGCAGCATTAAGCTTACTGTATTATTTGTTTAGAAGTGCCATGGCATACGCTCGATTGCATTGTTTGCTTACAAAAGAAACCCAGTACAAAAAAGATTAGAATATCCATATGTTATAACTCTCCATGTTTTTTTTTATGTTATCAGCATGCGCGTTGATGAAGATGGGTATGTTATTATACGTGTGAAACTGGTTAATGATAACATCTGCGTGAATCATAATTAATCATAAAGATTTTATCCCAAAATTAAAGCATGCTTTTATCAATTTCCTCAAGGAATTTTAGCATTTGAATTTTAAAATGCATGTTACAGATAAATTACTAATGATCAAAAGCCACTTAAGCATTTGTCAGGAAAGCAATATCAGAGCTTAATATAGCTCAGTGATGAAATGATGGCTTTCTTTGAAATCAATAGTTGTATAATATTCTATTTGAAGAAATAAAATATTATAGGTAGAACGTGTGTTTTGATATTTTGTTAAAGCCTAACATTATTGCTTGATGTAAAAACTATCATGTTTTTTTTCCTGCAGTCGACAGCTTATACTTAGAAATGTACATGTACATACATGTAGCAACAATGAAAAATGATGCATTGAGATAAAATTTCTTCACATAAATGAAGATTATAAGATTAATATATTTTTTAAAATCCTGAATTTTAATGATTTTTAAAATCCAAAATCATGAAAATGAGTTTGTTCATTGAATTACACAGGGACATCCCAGAAGATGATTGGTAAGATTTGTCACGTGACTTTGAGAATGGTGTGGTTGCTCGATCCAATTTGTAGTAAAGCGCATGCTTTTGTATGACATTGAAAAGTTTAATTGCATGAATAAGAAAGGAAAATTGGACATTAATCAACTGAATACTAACCTCTTAGGAAGAAATTTTATTGGAAGATGCTATGCATGTAATATTAGACAAAAAGACTGGCAAAATCCAACATTGAAATCGATGGTTCGTGTGGTTACGTTTCACAATAACTCGAAAGAGGATTTGCGCTGTTAGAAATTCATTACGATGTCTAGTTCTTTGAAGTGTTTGGCATTGGTGTGGTTAAAGCTAGGGTCGATTTAAGCTTTGCTTTAGATGTGTGTAAATTAAAATCTGTCAGAAAATATAAAAAAAAAAAACCTCTGCATTCAAATAGATGGGTTCTGTAGAGATTGGCTTTTTTCAGCTGGGTATGTTTATTTTAACGGTTGTTCAATATTTTCCCTTCCAATGAAAAAAAGGGGGAAAAAGATACGAACTTGTAAAGCTAAAACCTTGCCTAGTGTTGGCTATTTGCTTCTTTTTTTGTGAAGAATGACATGTTATATGTGCTTTTTACGTCACATAGGGACTCTGTGGAAATCGAGTTCTGGTGAGTTGTCATTATTTCTTTGTTTCAGGCTTTATCACACAAGCGTGCAGAAAGAATGTCTCCCACATATATTTGTCATTGTTTCTTCACATGTCATTCATTGTCAAAAGATGTACACGAATTATTGCATTCATCTTGGTCAACGGTGGCTGACGTGTGTCTCATACACATATTCCTGAAAGTGTAATTAATAGTCTTACTTTCAGCATGTGCGATAAATTTCAGCGTGAATTTAACATCATGGATTTATTTTAGCCTGAATTTAAAATATCAAGCATGTGCAGTTTATTTCAGCGTGAATTTAACTTTATGTTTATTTTTTAAGCGTTGCATATAACAAATATTTTTTTTAATGATGATTGTTTGGTTTGATCCTTTTGGAATCACATGTGTAAGACGTTTGAACTAATCAAAGAAAAACAATTTGCACGTTGAACATGTACAACTAACTTGTCGCTTTATTAAATAACATCGATTGCAATATTTGAAAATGATATCTAGGTTTTACCGTCTGACAGAAAGGTCAGTACATGTATATGTACGTAGGAGAAGAAAAATAAATCGATAAAAAGGTTAAAATAAGGAAAAATATATATATGCTTATTGATAAGTACTGTGCCATTTCCAGCCTTCTCTTAAGGTTTGTAACTATGTCCGTTTCTGTTTTGCATATAAATTATTTAGAATAGGATGAAAATATATTTACTTAATATCATTTATTTCTATTATCTTTTCATAAATTCTTTTAGCAGAGTTGGTCTTTAAAATCTCGGGTTTTTCTTAAAGTATAAATTTTTATTCTTTCCATATTTTGTATACCTTTATTCTAGCTTCTACATAATTCTTAACGGCACGGTCTCCGTTTACATCGACCCCAAGATGACCGGGGAGGATGAAGGGGGTTACTTCACCCCAGCCCGCCGTAAAACCCCTTCCCCTGCCCCTTCATCTGTTCCGGCCACACCAGAACCTGGACATCTTGATCCATCCGGTCCAAAGGGCGCGCATGCGCTAGAGACACTGGCAGAAGAGGAGGAAGATGACGAAACTGACGAAGCGAAAGAGAAAAAAGTATTAAGAAAACCAGCACCCAAAAAACTTGCTGTTCTAGATCGCTCCAAGTTTGGGAAATTAATCGTGAATTACGGTAAGAATTACTGAAAGGATATTTATTAACTGATAATTTGAACGAAAAGTTTGAATGAAAATTTCACCAATATGTGTTGTAAATGTGTTTATTAAAGTAAAAAGTTATATAAAACTTTTTTTTTTTTTTTTTTTTTTTTTTTTTTTTAAAAAAATTCAACTGTTTTTCGGAATAATATCATTTTCAGGACCCGGTAAATCCTTTGGAGAGGTGGCTCTTGTCAAGAGAGACAGTTTTCGGAACGCCTCTATTATTGCAGATGAGGATGTAGACCTTTTGGTGATTGGACAAGACTTATTTGATAGATCCCTAAAGGTGACTGAAGGATTGATCTAGAATTCAGAATGTTATATCAATAGTCAACAATCTGCAACTGTTTCATATTTATGAAGAATAAAGAGTTTATCAAATTAAAGAAAATGCTTCAAATTAAGTTTATATACGATAAATGTATATTTTTCGTCCACAAGGAAAGAAAGCAGTGATAGATTTAACTAATTATTAGAATCCCATATTTTCTTATAATGCTATTTTAATTTGTGTACCTCTATTACTTACCAGTCTGACCATGAGAGAGAATTTGCTGAGATTAGCGACTTTATCGAGTCTCATCCTTTCTTCTGTCACATGCCAAACAAACTGAAGAAGCTTTTGGAAATGAGTCTGAGGCGGGAGACATTTATCTTTGACACCGTGATGGTGAAACAGGGGGACCCCGTGATAGGACTACACTTCATACTCAAGTATACAGTCTAGCTATTGAAGTATTCAAGTATACAGTCTAGCTATTGAAGTATTCAAGTATACTGTCTAGCTATTCAAGTATCCTAGTATACAGTCTAGCTATTGAAGTATTCAAGTATACAGTCTAGCTATTGAAGTATTCAAGTATACAGTCTAGCTATTGAAGTATTCAAGTATACAGTCTAGCTATTGAAGTATTCAAGTGTACAGTCTAGCTATTCAAGTATTCAAGTATACAGTCTAGCTATTGAAGTATTCAAGTGTACAGTCTAGCTATTCAAGTATTCAAGTATACAGTCTAGCTATTGAAGTATTCAAGTATACAGTCTAGCTATTGAAGTATTCAAGTGTACACTTTAGCTATTGAAGTATTCAAGTGTACAGTCTAGCTATTGAAGTATTCAAGTATACACTTTAGCTATTGAAGTATTCAAGTATACATGTACAGTCTAGCTATTCAAGTATTCAAGTGTGCAGTCTAGCTATTCAAGTATTCAAGTATACAGTCTAGCTATTCAAGTATTCAAGTATACAGTCTAGCTATTCAAGTATACAGTCTAGCTATTGAAGTATTCAAGTATACAGTCTAGCTATTCAAGTATTCAAATATGGAACCTACACATGTAGCTAATGAATATTTCATGTAAACAGTCTAGCTATTGAAAAATTCATGTATACAGTCTAGCTATTGAAAAATTCATGTATACAGTCATGCTATTAAAGTATTTGCAAAGTTTGCAGCCTACAATGTAGCTATTGAAGTATTTAAGTTTACATTCTAGCTATTTACAGAAGTGTTCGAGTATACAGCCTGCTATTGAAGTATTTAAGTTTACATTCTAGCTATTTACAGAAGTGTTCGAGTATACAGCCTGCTATTGAAGTATTTAAGTTTACATTCTAGCTATTTACAGAAGTATTCCAGTATACAGCCTGCTATTGAAGTATTTAAGTTTACATTCTAGCTATTTACAGAAGTATTCCAGTATACAGCCTGCTATTGAAGTATTTAAGTTTACATTCTAGCTATTTACAGAAGTGTTCGAGTATACAGCCTGCTATTGAAGTATTTAAGTTTACATTCTAGCTATTTACAGAAGTATTCCAGTATACAGCCTGCTATTGAAGTATTTAAGTTTACATTCTAGCTATTTACAGAAGTGTTCCAGTATACAGCCTGCTATTGAAGTATTTAAGTTTACATTCTAGCTATTTACAGAAGTATTCCAGTATACAGCCTGCTATTGAAGTATTTAAGTTTACATTCTAGCTATTTACAGAAGTATTCCAGTATACAGCCTGCTATTGAAGTATTTAAGTTTACATTCTAGCTATTTACAGAAGTATTCGAGTTTACAGCCTGCTATTGAAGTATTTAAGTTTACATTCTAGCTATTTACAGAAGTGTTCCAGTATACAGCCTGCTATTGAAGTATTTAAGTTTACATTCTAGCTATTTACGGAAGTGTTCCAGTATACAGCCTGCTATTGAAGTATTTAAGTTTACATTCTAGCTATTTACAGAAGTGTTCCAGTATACAGCCTGCTATTGAAGTATTTAAGTTTACATTCTAGCTATTTACAGAAGTGTTCCAGTATACAGCCTGCTATTGACGTATTTAAGTTTACATTCTAGCTTTTTACAGAAGTATTCGAGTATACAGCCTGCTATTGAAGTATTCCAGTATTAGCTATTTGAGTGTACAACATACAAAATGTAGCCAGTGAAATATTGAAGTAGACACAAGAGCTATTGAAGTATTCAAGTACGCTGTATTAAGAGCTTAGTTATTTTCAAGTATACAGTAAAACTATGCAGGTATTCAAGTCACAGCCTAGATACTGAAGTGTTCAAGTGTACAGCCTACATATTTACGAGTAGCTATTGAAGTATTGAAGTATACAGCTTAGTAAATGTAGTATTCAAGTTTACAGCCTATAGTTACTGAAGTATTAAATAAACTTTCTCAAGTATACAGCCATACAATTAACATATTCAAGTACATGTATACAACCTATCTTTTGAAGTATACAACCTAATTTTTTTAAGTATTCAGTGTCTCGAAAATACAATACAACCTAGCTATTGAATTATTGAGATATATAGCCAAGCTTTTGAAGCATTCAAGTTTAATTTTTTCAGCCTAGCTATTGAATTTTTCAAGGATACAATCTAAGTAGCTATTGTATTAACTGAATTATTGAAATATACAGCCCATCTAAGTATTGAATTATCAAACAATATAGCTTACATGTAACTTCTGAAGTTTCAAGTAAACATCCTAGAAAATGAACTAAATAAGGATTACCACAAAATGTTTTATTGACTGACATGTAATTCATGCAGTCTCTGACTTGATCTGAGCTAAGCTATACGCAGATTTTTCTGTGTTTCTAATTCTTAGAGATTTATTTTAAGAAAAACAAAATTACACCAGAATGCACATTAGATTTACAAATAATAAACAATTATTCCAATTACAGAGGCCAAGCCAATGTGATATTAGAACCCCACAAACATCAGAAACAGTACTCACATCTGTGGCCCTTTGAGGCGGGTATCGATATCTACTCAGTGGAATTTGAGCATCTCAGGTAGGAAAGATAATTACGTGATTCGTATGGTTTGAAATATTTTATTGAAATCCTGTTACTTTCTCTCCCTTATCACAAATTTAAACTGAGTCACAATTTATCATATTTTGAACTATTCTACTAATAATATGCATTTAATAAATGTATACATTTCTTTTACATGTAGTATTGTCGCGTACTGATTTTGAAAATTAAAATAAGTGTACACGACTTATAGTTGTGTACTTATTTTAATTTTCAAAAATAAAAATCAGTAAATGACAGTATATTCATATATATTTATTATAATCGACAGAAAAATATGTGAGAAAGTTTTAAAATTAAATTTAAAAAAAAAGTGGGGGGAGGGGTGATAACGCATATTTCCGTCAATTTGACTAACACGAGCAATTTAGGGTATATATAGGGTGTTCTTTGTTTATATTTTGTGATTGTATATGATTTTTATCAAGACAAGAGAAAAGAAAGAAAAACATACAATAGATAATATTGATAAAAATTGTATACAAACAGAAATCGAGAGAGATTTTAATTATTACGTTTATAGTGAATATGCTCTCATACTTCTTGCAGTAGGCCGCGTACAACGTCAATGGAACAATATAATATTACGTTACTGGAAATAGAGTATAACGAAATAAAATCTATAGTGCCTTGTTAACAAGTACATGTACATATACATGTATTTACATTTCCAAATAATTTTCCTTAAGAATCTTTGCAAATCTGAAGACTGTTCATTTTCTCATGAACTACCATGGATGAGCATGACCTCCATTGTGACGTCAAAACTATAGTGCAAACGCGCTTCATGAAATATGCCGGCGTGAAGCGTCGTAGTTCATGTCCTCATGAATCTTCAAAAAATAAATTCATTTCTTAAGTAGACATCTATTTATTTCTTTACAAAATGGTAGTTATGATACAATTTCAATATATATTTCTTAAAAACTAATTTCAAATGATTTTCCTCTGTACATCAGTCCGACTTTTAGGAAAAAGTAAGTCTATAGAATTCTGTAGATGGTGGTTTTTGTTTTACATATATTTTTTAGTCATTCATATATAAGATATTTATGGACTATAATTGCTTTGTAAGCAACCTTGATTTTCACTTTATCACCATTTTGGACTTAGGTGTTTTTTCGTATATGGTGAACAGATTTTAAGAAAGCTTCTTTTTGTTAATAATACATGACAGTAATTTGTCACTCAAATGGTTCCGTCTTTATTGGCTAGGCAATCGATTTTTATGCCGTTATGGAATTTATTATTTTTTAAAATAACAAAAAAATTGAGGAGACATATAATTCTTGTGAAGTCTATGCGACACCTAATTATAACTTTTGGACATAAATCATGCACTGTATTACGTGATGCAGTCTTTTCTCATTTAATCTTTCTGAAACGAAGTTAGATTTATTATAAATGTAACACCAACTTTATTTCTCGACTACATAATGATTTGTAATGTAGAAAAAAATATTCTTATTTGAATAAGATCTAAGATTAAAATTTATTTTCTATACAAAAAGGGAGAAAAGAAAGTGAGTAATATCTGTGTAATTAAATGTAGAAGTAAAATAAAGCATTTGTTAATTTTAGGATGTTGTTGTACACAAACCCAATGTTGGTCGATGCTAGCCTTTGTTAAAAATGCTCTTATTGTTGTAGTGCTTAATGTAGATTATATGAATATTTATAAGATGGTGTATCATGCACGAATCTGGAAAAAATATGAAAAATTGTTGAAATTCTGTTTCGTTATTTTGATGTCGCTTTATGTTGCCTTGCATTAAACATATCGTTTCTAGAAAGTCAATATTGAAAGTAAGTTATTCAGAAATAAATTCTTCTCTTGTCTTTCGTGTTGATCAGATTGACAGTATAAGTTTCGAAACAACTTAAATTTCTTTGATCATTATTGTTTTAGGGAAGCAAGAAGACAGGCAATACTCAGAAAGTATGAGGATCCAGCAGTGTGGGAAACGAAATCCGAGGAACTTGTCATAAGACGGACTGAGGGGTACGCTGCCGTTGAAAAACGGATGAAGGAACGCCACGTAGATCTGTGCTCAATTCAAGACCGCGAGGTGATCGGGGACATCGAACTTCTGAATAATTTGAGTACCTATATGCACACAGTTAAGTGTATTGCAAATACTGAGGTATTTATATTAGACACGAAAAACTACGAAAGAATTGTTGGGAAGAAAAACACTGCTACCATCGATATTATGCGTGAACATGTGAAAGCAAAACTGGAAACGAGAATGAACATGAAACAAGGACATTTAGTACCCTTCTTGCAATTTTTGCATTTTAAAATGACGGAGGAATCTTTACCTCAGTCAAAACCTTTACCTCCATTAAAAACCTCCAAAACGCTTCCAGACAGGGACACCATGCTTCAACAGCTACTGCAGTGGTTCAAAGACGGAAAATCCACAATCGTGGAACCGTATACCCCTGGTGCAGTGTTTTATAAGCAACTCATGAAAGAAAAGGCAGCAGCCAGAAAAGACCATCCTCCACCTGTAAAAACAAGCGTTGCTCTTACTCTTCGAGCAAATCGACGAAACCAGCCGCCAAGGAAACCAAGAAGTTTGATGGAAATAAGGGAATCCCTGCGGCAGATGATGGAGGCGGAAGTAATAGAATTCGAAAATGAAAGTGCTAAAAAGCAGATCGGATCCCGACGAAAACCGAAGGAAAAGAGAGGAAAGGGTCGAAGGAGACATCCATCACAAACGCAATCAAATTTTGAAGGCAGCAGGAGTAAAGCAGCCTCGCTTCAGTCACTAGCCTCGCTTCCAAATTATCTAGGAGAGAAAGAGAACGACGAAACTGATAACTCACTTCTCACAATACTTGCAAATCACAATAAACCGACAAATGAAAACGAAAATAAGCCAAAGAGTAGGAGGGGTTCTTTAGAGGAGCAGAAAACTGTGAAACCAGTTTTAATTACGGAGGTAAATCGTAAAGACCAGCGTGTTGAACTACCAAATATAAAAGAGGAGAGAACACAAGAGGAAATTATTCTAAAGAAACAAAATTTAGGAAATAATACCAAAGAAGATTTCATATTAGAAACTCAGAAATCTGATGTGGCAGCTCGGACACAATTTCAGGTCTCAAATGCAGCTAAATCAAAGGAACTTCAAGTTCCAAACTTAGAAAATGTCCCTACTTTGATCGGACAAGAAAGTGATAAAGAGAAGGCTTTACCAAATATTGATGGGGCAGACACATCATCCACGGACAAGAAAAGAAATGAAAACTCTAAATGGGCAACAGCAATGAAATTCGTTAACGAGAATATCCATCGGCGACTTATGGCGAACAAGGACCCAGAGCACGACACACTTCCACATTACGACGACTACGAGTCTAATGATAAAAATCTGTCCTTCCTAGAGAACAGACTAATGGCTTTCCACGTGAAATATGGCGGGAAGTCAAAGATACACATGAAATTACCGAAACTTGCGCGATATACAGTTGACGTAAGTACATCTAAATATCAATTAAAAGTTAGTCTGTTTATAAAGCTGTGGAAAGCTATTAGATTTCGAAGGTTTCCCCAACAAGGAATCTATGTTTTGTCATAGATGTACCTGTGAACCAAAATCATTTGACCAAAAATAACATGGCAGGTACATGTATATGTATTTCCAGTAAAATCCTCATATTGATATACGATGTAGTGCTTAATCATCTGCTAATGAGAGATTTATCATTATATAAATACTTTGCATGTAACTGAGTGTAACATTGAAAATTTTCACCCCAAGAAAACCATTGTCAACCGAGGCATAGCCGAGGTTGACAATGGTTTTCAAGGGGTGAAAATTTTCAATGTTACACTCAACTACATGCAATATTTATTATATTATACTGAATGTTTTTTACAAATACATATTACAGTGAACCTTGCGCGCATAAATTCCGCGCAGTCAATATTTTTTGGAATATCACCCGTCGTCAAGCAATGTTGACTGTTGCTACGCTGGAGGGCGTGGCTTCATTATTCAGCGGGCAATAGTGTTTGTTGACAAATGTTTCTCGACGAATCAGATTCAACTAATTTACATGAAAGTATAATATTTGTAATTGTACTACAATGTTAGTAGATACATGTAGTCTGATACTTTGTGACTAATAACCTAAACTGAAAGGTAATGGTCTACATAGTGCAAACTGTCTAAATGTACGATAAATTTGCTTGAGATTTGACAAAGGTCAATTCACACTGAACACAGCTGCCACATTATGATCGATAATCCTTGTTTCCTGTCTAATCATTATTAATATGATAATATCATAAAATATATATTTGTAGATCTGAAGTTCAAAACTTCCTCAAAGGCCAAGATTAAAAAAAAAAGAAATGGCAATGCACTTACCAGTTGCTTATTTGTTGTAGACATAAAATTTTTATTTGTTTTAGGAAAATGATACCAAAGCTCCAAAACCTGGTGGAAAAGTATGGATAAGACGACGCATGTGCAGATTTGCAGACAACAAGATCCAGGTCAAAGATCATAAACATGTCCGCCATCATATTGTTGATGACATTCCAGATTTTGATAACGTACAAAAACAAAAACGTGTTATGCAAGCTTTTCTGTGATAAAAAATTTTTTTATAAGAAATTTAATAAATCATCTCTTGTAGAGGTATAAATGTTTTAAAACATATAGAAGTATAAATAAAAGTAATAAAATAAAAAAAAGATTGTTTTATCTTATTAAGCGCAGAACTTATTGATTCTTTTGATGCACAACTGATATATTGATATCCTAAATGATTCTGTAATATGCTCTATGAAATATGTTCAAACATGCAAGTTTTATCTTTATGCCTTATAAAAATATCGAATGTTAAAAACGAGATCTCAAGACGTACTGTTTCTACATCTTATTTGAAAGTTTGAAAGGTGATGTACATGTAAATCAAATCTGTCCTCTAAAAATTCCAAAAACTTCTAGAAAAAAAATGAAATCTCATTTTTTTTCCCCCAAAACTAAAAGCACCAAGTTTATGAATAATGAACAGTGTATATAAATTAAAGACTAGTTTTTTTTTCATCAGAAACAACTGCTTCTTCAACAGAAATGGAGCTCTGAAATTTTTCATATTTTTTTTTCATCAAAAAATTGTCTTTGATGCTCTCAGTAAGGAATATGTATAATACAAATTTTACTGATATTTTTTTAAAGAAAAACCTACTACATATACATGTATGTAATAGTCTTTCGATATATGAATATATTCACAACTTATAGTGTTATCAATGATTTACCATTAATTCAGTGACCATTCACACACAAGCTTTTTTTTATGTTCATGCAGCTTTAATCGCCTCGTTTTTCTTTTTAACATCGGGCTCGATTCTATATGATGTTCTGGAAACTTCCGTCAATATTAAGATCGGTGAATGACGAAAATAATTTGTAAATTTTCCTTTTTAATCGGTTATCACAACTTATTTCTTTTATATCATTTAAATCAAGTTTTGTTTGAATAATTCAGTGATGACGTTTTATGAAATAAATAAACGATTGCTTGTTGTCAGTTTCATTAAAAATTGCCAGTACATGTAACTTAGATCCGCCAACTGGAAATGCCACCGTACTCACAATATTGCTATTTCATGGCTGTTTATAGTAAATGAAAGTAGACTTTTGATTGAATGTACGATACTTACTATGCGAGTGAAATCTAAATATAGTTTATGGACATCATCATGTATCTAGTGTATTGTTAGAGGAGTAAGTAAGAACTCTGATGCACCCGTTTCGGAGTTTATTTGCAAAATTTATTAATTCATAAGTATAGATGTGTTTTATCCTTCCTGATTATTTTTCCTACGATTAACCCTCTTTTCAATATTCTAAATTATTTGTATTTTCCCCGAATCTTAAATCAAATTTCTTAAGAAGTTTATTTATCATTTTAAATAAGAGTTTCTGTTGGCTTTGATGTTGATTTGAATAGTCTGCATTCTCTTTTGGGGTTTATATTAAATTTATGTCCTTTAAAAAAAAAATAAAGTGTGCTTAATTTTGTTAGAAGAACTTGTAGAAGAGGTATACAATTGTGGTAAGTACCGACGAAAAGAGAGCTGACATTTATACGAAAATTTTCCCTATCGTTTCTAGCTGAAGAAATACTAGTACTTCTTTTTGTGCATTCCGTATTATTTCTTCAGCAAATTTAAGAAATAAATTTTACTTTTGGAAATTCATGAGGATATGAACTACGGCGCTTCATGACCACATACATGTATTGGTTTGTTCCTGTTCTGCACACATTTGAAATCAGGTAGAGAAAAAATGTGTGCAAAACGGTAATTTGTCCAGATATTAAGTAAGATATTTACTGAATTATTATAGTCTGTATTAAAGTTGGTGAATAGGGGAAAAATGAACCTATATGGGAAAACTACTGAACAAAGTCGTGCATTTGATATCAAGATTTAATTATTGTTCTCTGTCATCAGATTTCCTCATCTACATGTAAGTGCCAGGTACAGGTCTAAATTTGCTGCCCTTCACCGGTATGTGGTGGCATTTCAATTTGAGTGAAAGATTGTCGAAGAAAGGTTGAACAAACAAAGTTATTCGCCACACAAAGTTGTCGTCTGTATATGCGCCTGAAAGAATACAATAAAATCCAAATTCGTTTAATATTTTCTTAATACCCGCTTTTCCCCCAATACAGTAAATAAATATTTATTTATTTCAATATACCATTTTTAATCGGGCTCAAAGTCTTACAATTGAGTCAGTATCTTGAATTCCTCACTTTTTATCACCGCGTTATAAACGTGAAGGTACCGATCGACTTACTTCTTAATACAGATGAATTAAATTTAAAAAAAAAAAAATGAATGAATAGAAGTTTTCACCTAATTGATTTTACCTGTTTTTGTGCTGTTAACTCTGTAAACTTTAAGGCTTGAAAATTCTGGCTGAGAGAATGAAGTAAAAAACGTGACCAAAAATTAGGCCATTAATATGCACGAATTTACATATCCTCGAAAGTATTAATTTTACTAAATCCACAAAAATTGATGCCCACGAATATTAATGAAATCAAATACATGTACTCACTTGAACTAGTTTATTATAAATAAAGTAATAAATAATTCCTTTTTCTACTAACATGTAACCTTAGACAATTTAAAATCATTTTATCCTATCGATTGATTGATTGTATGTTGTTTTACGTCCCATTCGAGAATTCTTCACTCATATAGAGACGTCACCATATAGCGGTGAAGGGCTTCAAATTTTGACCTTTACTCGGCACTTAGGGCCATTGAGCAGTGAGGGATCTTCATCGTGCCAACGCCTGCCGTGACACGGGGCCTCGGTTTTGAAGGTCTCATCCAAAGGACCCGCAACTTTCACTTCAAAGTGCCGAGCGCATGGCGAAGGAACAGTTGCTACCCATTTTTTATCGACTTAGGTCAGTCGCAGCCGGGATTCGAGCTCACGACCTCCCGATCACGGAGCGAGCGCTCTACAGACTGAGCTACCGTGAACGATTACTATCGATTGAATACGTTGCATGATTTGTGAAACGATTGTGATAAAAACAATGCTTCTGGCAGGAATAATTTTACAAAGAACAACACCATATGTGACAATAGAAAAAATTTCAATTGGATTTTTTAATACTTGAATGATTACATGTAAAATATAAGTACAGTATCTTGTGTAACACTTGGCATTTATCATTAGAAAAGCGTGTCACTATATTTAAATACTGTAATGCATATATAATTACATTATATATATGTAATAAAATTCATCCACAGTCTGAAGACATTGTTAAACTTATATTCTTATCTTTCCAAAGTAAGGTAAATACAATGCAATAAGATGCAAGTGATATTATTTGCTTCATTGAGATGATGTTTGATTTTAATTGTTGTTGTTAATTGAAACTTATATATATTGTTTTATATTTTTTTTTATTTGACTCTGAGCTTAAATACCGTTCGTTATCTCCATATTTCATATCAACAATAGTTTCAAAGGCAGTGATATAAAAGGAACAACAATCTTTTTTGAAATGATTTCCTTTAAAGGATTTAATATGCACATTTTATTATTATAGCTAAAAAATAGTCTATAATAAAAAAAAAAGAACTACTGAAAGTCTAGTGAATTTAAGCGTTCAATATCTTGGCGTTTTATTGAACACTGAGTTGCATTACGTATATGAGTATGTCCCGAAACATTCCGAATACGAGCGTCCAATATCGAATGGGGCGCCAGTGTAAACTCTCCTTCTTTGCTTCTTGGATGAATTATTGGAGATTGATTTCATAAGATCCCACCGTCACGGTAGCTCATTCGATAGAGCGCTTGCTCCGTGATCGGAAGATGGCGACTGACCGAAGTTGATAAAATATAGGTATCTAGCGCTTCATGAAAAATATGCCTACGTGCAAGTCTGTGTAATTTACACCCAATAATTCACACTAAACTTAAAAACATTCTTTATATTTACATTTTACAAGTTTAAAAGCCCCAATAATATACTCAATATTTGAATTTCTTGCTGCCCTATATCGTTACATTTTTATCATGTCTCTGTAGCCTCATTGTGACGTCACTTTAGCGCGAGTTTCACCTTGTATATTTCTACGTGTGAGTATGCACAAAAATGACATATCAATTTAACAGTTGGCCTAGTAGAAAAACACAGCAAATATGAATATATCAATACATGTATAATTACTTATTTTTGAGATTTGTAAATATTTGGTAAATTAAATAAGTTTACTTGAGTTTTATGCGTATCGAGAAATAAGAGTTATTTCCCTTTGAAATTGAATAATTTGTGATAATATATGTACTATAATATGTTATGCTATGAAATATTTATTATGTTTACATATGTTTTGCAGGGCTGATTTAATATTTATCTTAAAAATCATCCATGTCAGAATTAAAGAACCCTACAAAATGATTAGCGTTTTCTTTATTCACAGGTAAAACCCGGTTACATGTATGACTAGGTACGAGTTTTGTTTAGCTTTAAGGATACATAACACAAACAAAAATTTGATGCCTGGATTGATATATATTTTTTGACTGAATTTGAATAGAAATGGCATAAATAATAAATCCCTAAATTATAAAGAAATCGTAAGTTTTTTTGGTGCTAAGATATGCGACTTTGTTTTGGTTTCTATATACAATTTCTATACAAAATTTTGCACATAATTTTAACATTGTGACAAAATCTTACAAAATTCTCCGACTTTACACGGCAAATATTATTCAGGTTACATAATTGAATATAAATCTATGGAAAATATTGCTGATTTCTGAAAAAAGTTTGTTTGTGTTATTTATCTTTAATGTAGACGTTAGACTACAATGCAAGTTGAGGATGTAAAATTTTAATGATAGTATCACAAGAATATACAATATATTTAACAAAACCTCCGATTAAGCAATTAACCAAATAAGTTTTACATTAAGTTTCTAGGTTTCTAGGATTGCCTTCATACAAATATACATAACAGTAATTAATTGTTTTAAAGTCAGATCAAAACCACTTATTCTGGTACGTAAGTGGAAGTTATACATCGAGTCCTCTCATTTTTATTGCCTATTAATTGTTTTCAAACTTATTCCAAAAAATCAACTGTTGTTTTGACAGTTTTTTTAGTGTCTTTATCGGTAGCGTATACCTCTATTTCAGTCCCACTAAAAATCATTTGGACATTTACTGCCCTATCAACGCCCTTTAAAATGTCTGGCATATCTATGGATAAACTGCCAAGTCGGCGGCAGCCTTCATCCGAAGTAAACTCTGGATTGCTACTTGGTGACGTGTATATTACAAACCTTACTTTGGTCTGGTCGGGAAGTAGTGGATGATACCTTTGTGAAGCTGTAGGTTCACCTACACGTAGTGTCTCACCAACTCTTACATGGATACTGAAAACGTCTTTGCATTTTTCAATTCCGTTGACTAGTATTTTTTTTTCAAAGGGGTGTTTATTTGCAATGAAATCGCAATATGTACGAACACCATAAGTGTATTTGCAAACCCTAGACGAAATTGCATCTGGTTCGTGACCAAAAATAACAGCCCCTTTCAAAACAGTGAGCGCTGGCTCTGGTGGTATAATGAGTTTCACGTGACTGAAATTTGCCTTGATAGCCTCCTGTAACATTGGAGAATCTGCATACCCTCCCACTAGTAAGATTGTTTTGACATCTCTGATCTGTCTTATGCGGAAAAGTGACTGAATGTGTCTGACGATGTGGTCACAGCTCTCGTCAAACAACGCCTTCGTCAAATTGGCTTCCATTCGTAATTTATCCCCAACCCATGTAATCTTTTCTTTATATTTTGGTTTTGACTGAATGGTGGAAGAAATTCTTTTCCCTTTGTGATCTGATAAAATATGCGTTAGGGAAGTTGGAACTTTGAAAGTGATAAGGTTATCTTTCTTTAAGTCTGGTTTAATGGTTCTCTTTTTATATTCAAAATCTCTGAAAAGGTCTAAATAATCCATCTTGTGTAATTTCGAAAACGCCTTCATAACATCTTCTCCAACAATATCTGCTAGTAGACATTCCAGGGCCTCGTCAACTTTTGTACCACCCCAGGCACCTCCATTTGCCTTGTAGAGTTCTTTCAATGAGTTGTTTTCTTGTACCTCATGTACGGTTATATCAATAGTGCCACCTGTAAATATTACATATATGTAATACATGTATGACACGATTTAATTAAAACTAGTAGATTTTACCAAAGACGTCTATGTTGCAACCACTTTTGAAATTATAACGTTCACTATTGAAATAATTAGGCACCACGGCTATAAAAATATTGGAACTACTGAAGCAATATATATTTACACCACTCCAAAAATGTATGATACAAATACACTGATGTCTAAATATAAGATTACCTAAAATATTATAGTACGAAAATCCAATGAAATTACAGGGCTTGAAGTATTAAATTTTAATTTTATCCTCTGATTACTTCCCCCCAATGGCCCACGAGAGGTGTGCATACAGAATCAAATCTAACAAAACACAGTCTGTGAGTATGTTTTTCATATAGGATGAGTTAACCAAGCATCGGACACATACCTTGCTTCGGACAACTTTGAGCAATAAACATTCATTGAACCTGAGTCTCTCCGTGTTTTTACTTGACTGTTTCTGTCTTAAAGGTAAAAATTAAAAAAAAATTTAATGATGCTAATTTTTATTTTCATGTTGGGATAAAAATACCACAAGAATGGCCTCGAAATTACGTCATATTTTACATCATCAAAGGAGAGTAACCAGAATTTTACGATTTTGCAATTTTTTAGAGTTGTCGTTCTATTAATTAGTCTTCAACAGAACCAGTCCGACCTAGTGAAAATTTGTGAATGAACGATAATTTTAAGGAAATTCTTCAAAAATTTACTTCATTGTTTATATAATATTTTTTTTTTTTAGATTTTTTTTTACTAGTATGTTTATTTCACCGTACGTCGGACACAAATTTACTATGCATCGGGCACTTTCTGATGCATGGGTCATCACTTCAATTTTTATATAAAACCCAAATGACAACTGTTTTTAGCGGAAATAGAAAACAAAAGCTCTAAATTTTCAGTGAAAATACAAATTATCGATATATGACGACTAGAAGTGGACTCAATTTATTTCTTTAAACTAAATGATGATAACCCACGAGATAAAGGCACGAATTGGCATATTACTAACATTGTAATGCCTTTCTAAAGCGACGTGAAGCACCTAAAATCTCTTCACATTTGACAGTTTAAAACATGTTTTTCCGTTGAGTTTACCTAAAAAGTATGTCCCGATACACCTTATTTTACCAAGCTATATTTGTAAAGGATCATTAAAAGAACTCGCCCCTCAAATTTGAAAAATGTGAAGGCACCTTTCATTTACTAGATCTTGACCTTAACTATAAGTTAATTTTTAAATAAAAGATAAAAATTTTGACATCAATAATTTTAAAGCACGGAGACCAAGGTATAATATTTTTTCGGTTCAAAATACCGTATGTCCGATGGTGGGTGAATATTGTCCGGACCATGGTGAATTCTGAAATATTTCGAAAAAAATCGGTCAATTTAGTTTTATTCTAAAAAGGAAAATGTCTGGCCTAGACAAACAACCCTGACTTTCAGCGTTATTTCATTTTTGTAACAAAGTAGCCAAAATATAACATTGACCCCCCACCCCCACCCGGAGAAACACTGACAGGAAATATGTGAGGAGTTCCTGAAGCGGCCCTTCCATCCTCAAAAAGCATAGTTTGGTTTTCAACATCATTTGGTAAGTTCCCCCTTTTTTGGCTTGATTATTTGTTTGTTTCGTTTATTTATTTTGTTTATGGGTTTTTTTTTTTGGTCACAATAGGTCAGAGGGTATTGGAACAAAACTGAATCCCCATAACCAAAAGAAACTTTGTGGCAAATATGATTGAAATTGGCCCGGTGGTTCTTGAAAATAAGATGAAAAGTCAACGACAGACAACGGGCAAATTTCGATCAGAAAAGCTCACATAAGCCTTCGGCTCAGGTGAGCTAAACAGCTTAGAAAGACAAAATGGTTACATTATCGATAACATATAGTGCATATTAGAATACAAAAATAGGAAAAAGGTGTGTCGATCCCAGATTTTAGGAGAAAAAAATGGAAAGGGGGATCCATCCCCAAAGTGCCTGTGACACTCGCAGTAAAACTTTTGCATTTAACTGATTGAGGATTCGAACGTAATGCATAATTTATGTATTGTTATGTTGTTGGTCCAGATTTTAAAAATATTACAAAGGATTATATTGAAAATAATATAAAGTATTTTTTCAATCTAAGGTGGCAAAAGCTCTGTTCTCGATCCTACTGGGCAGGGTCATTTAATGATGTGAAGAAATATGTCATGAAATGCGAAAAGAGCATCTGAAGAAAGCAAAGAAACTCTTGCGCCCCATAGCAGTATCCGAAAAAGCTTTCTCACAGATCTGTATGGATTTTGTCGGGCCATTGGAAGAAACAAAGACAGGTGGTATGAATTTTTCTTCGAGATTTATTGTTCAGAAAAATAGAGAAAAATACATCCTGTATCAGCCCGAGACATCAATATCGGCCAGAGGGCCGAGGGCTGATATTGGTCAAGGGATGATATAGGATATGATATAGAAAAGAGTATGTTTGATAAAGTTTAATACATACATAGTAACAAAATTCAGCATTCATCTATTTGAGCAAATACACATAAATAATCAAGTTGAGGTATACTTTATTGTTATGCTAAACGGATCGGTGTAGAATTTAGTTCAGTTTGTATCGATGGAAGTTTTAAAGAACTCCAATACCAGTAACAAGTCCACGATCCGCGAGCAACTTATGATAAGATCTAATTGAAAGAAAAAAATTTATAAAAAGTCAATTTTCATAATGAGGAACAAAAGATGTTTGCATATTTATATGAGTATTATCGTCTTTCAGAACATAAACAAAATCAACAGGTTCAACAATTACCGGTACATCATGTTATTGTGGAAGATACAAACCTAACGTTCACATTTTCCTTCTGCAATAGTGTTATATTCGCCATGTACCGTCAAGCACTAAATTTGATGAATGTTTTAATGTAGTTTAATTCATTTCAGGTAATCGTTATATAGTAGTTCTAACTGACTACCTGACGAAATTGGTTGAAGCAGAAGGTATTCCTGAAAAACAGTGCGGTATCAGTAATGAGCATTTTCATCAAATTTGTCTGCACCCATGGCGTACCAAATATACTTATTACCGACCAAGGCAGAGAGTTTTGTAACAAAATAAATGATTGCCTTTGCGAACGAATGGGAATAGAGCACAGAGTTGCAACAGTTTACCACCCATAAAGTGGTGGTCAAACAGAGAAGTTCAACGGAACTCTTTCCACTATGCTATTCAACGTTGTTAACTTGAAAAGTAATGACTGGGATGAACACATGTCAAAGGTACTTTTTGCATACAGAACAGCTTTTTTAAAACACGTCTCCACTCAAATGCATCCGTTTTCTTTAGCTTATGGACGACAGGCAAGGTTACCTGTAGAACCTGATATTCCTGACACTGATAGTTCTAGTACGCAGGTAGAAGACGAAAACCTTGCATTCAAACGACGTGCAGAATTGAAGCGTTCCTGACTGAACAGAGGCAAGAAAAAGGACCAAAAGAAGGATATATGGAGCACAGAAAAAGAAAAAGAAAAGAAGTAGCATGACAAGAGTGTTTCTAACGAAAGATTTAAGAAAGGAGAAAGTGTTCTTCACAATGCAAGAAAAATCGGCAGAAAAGGTGGAAAATTTGAAAAGAACTGTCTAGGGTCATACCTAATAACTAATATGAAAGTACAGAAAAACGGCATATGTTTTTACACCTTGAACGGAGCTGTTAACGGCCGCAGACTGAAAAAAAATATAGAACCTCTGATTCCAGGAGAGGAGTCTTCACGTGACACTGATGACATCATCCTTTATTACAAAGACTAAGAAACTGAAGTTTCTAAAGAAGATGATAAAATATAGATCCTCTGATTCCAGGAGAGGAGTCTTCACGTGACACTGATGACACCATCCTTTATTACAAAGACTAATAAACTGAAGTTTCTAAAGAAGATGAACAACCAAATCAAGATTTTTCTAATAATGTATTTGACAAGGAGAAAAACCAAGCAATGCAAGACAGCTTCAATGCTGGGACAGATGATGAAGAACTCTCAAGGAGCTTTAAAGATGAGATAAATGGTGAAGAGGACACAGTTACATGCACAATAGAAGATGTAGTTATTCTAAAAAATTATTTGTGTGAGTTGATTACAAATGGCAGATGAAACATGCAAAACATTTCGGTGTTGATGTGAAGAACTTGCATGGAAAATCTAGAATACATGAAATGGCCTTTGCCGCCGAACCCTTGAAAGTGATTTCTATGAAAGGAAATGGTAATTGTTCATTTCGAGCTTAGCTACAGTCTTTTTGGATCACAAACATATTATGTAATAGTACGAGACTACTTTTTTGAATATTATTGTTGATTTTATTTATAAATGATTTATTGGACAAGGTATTTTCATTGAAAATTTTCCCCAAAACGTGCCCTATACCTGAGTTTGACAAGCCCATTGGAAAATCTAAGCTGATGACCCATTTATTTTTTGGCATAATGGCATAATTTGCTGGTAAATTGTCTTGTTAACCTTGTCCTTTAATATGAATAAAAATTCTATTGCAGAATTTTTCAATGATCACTCTTATACCCTACACTGGCAAATTTCCATTACTTCCTATAGTAATTATCAATTTCCACCGCCAACTTTTGAAACACTCCCCATTAAAAATCTACATCGATGACCATATGATTTTTTTTTATTGATTTTAACTCAACATGTCACTTTACCTCATATTAAAATTTGAATAAAAAATCTATTGCAGAAATGAATTAGGTCCGTGGTCGTTAAATGTTTTTAATAAGATTGTGTATTTTCCTTCAAATATCTATCTTTTATGCATGTCGATTCTTGATATAATAAACATTAAAGAGAGAGGAAGTCGTAACATTACAATGTAACAAACACAGTCAAGCGGAACTATACCTCAGTATAGGACACTTTCTTCGAGGACAAGAATAACTCACTCTGTGTTACTCGATACAGGTATT